CGAAGCGGATGTACCAGAGCCGACAGCGTCCAAGGGTGGCGAACAGCCAACTTTCTCGGGAGACAACGACGGTCCGTTGTCGGGCGGTCGGCCACCTGGAGGCTTCCTGACCATCACAGACGGAGGCCAGCTGGGAGGCGAAGAATTTGTTCCTGCTCGCCTGCCGCGGTTCAGGTGATGAAGGTCCGTCGAGCGATAGTCAATTCATCTAGGAGATCTGGCGATGCACAGCACGCCATCGTAAACGAAGGACGAGAGACGAAGCCATGAACCAAGAGCGTCACGTCAGTTACGATACCACGGCTTGTTCGAATTAATACATTGAAGGGCAATCGGCTCAACGATTTTGATCTATCGAACTTTGTTTTGGCGATGAAACGCGTTTTCTTGACGAATCTCCACATCTCAGCATAATGGCAAAAACAGAGATGGTTTACGGACAAATGACCATCAACAAGAAAACACTACTCGCCATCTCGCCATCTCGCCGTTCGCTTGGGAGCGTGCCGACGGAGCGTCTGCAAGATGTGACACCGACTCCGACGGCGAGCACCGATCTAGGGTTGAACCTGGGGAAACTAGGGAGCTTGGGGCCAAGACGGCGAGCTGGTGTCCGCACACGGAAATGCCGAGGTCGCGCGCCCCCAGAGGACTCCCCCGCATCATCAGCTGTTGGAGATGTGCCCCCTGTAAAGCTCGACCCCAGATCGCCACTAGAGTTCAACCACATACATATGTGCATGCTGGCTTCTACTCTTCAGACGGCTTTTCCCCGCGACTTGCATACATTGTTTGGTCCGCCAATCCTGACCTCATCATCGACACGCCGTCACGACTTGTACACTGCCTCTCACCGCATCGAGGTATTATCACCATGGCACCCATCACAACACCCTTGACGACCCTCCTGGGCGTCTCGCACCCCATACTTCTCGCCGGCATGGCTCGCACGTCAGGCGGCCGCCTTGCCGCTGCCGTGTCCAACGCCGGCGGCCTCGGTGTCATTGGCGGCTTCATGTACACACCCGACCAGCTTCGCGAGATTGTGGCCGAACTCAAGGCTCATCTCACTGACCCCTCCCTCCCCTTCGGTGTCGACCTCGCTCTTCCTCAGATTGGCGGCAACGCTCGCAAGACGAACCACGACTACACCGGCGGTAAGCTCGACGAGCTCATTGACATCACCATCGAGTCCGGCGCCAAGCTCTTTGTCAGTGCTGTCGGCGTGCCGCCCAAGCACGTTATCGACCGGCTGCACGATGCCGGTATCCTGATCATGAACATGGTCGGGCACCCGAAGCATGCCGTCAAGGCGCTCGACCTCGGCGTCGACCTCATCTGCGCGCAGGGTGGCGAGGGCGGCGGCCACACGGGTGACGTTGCCAACTCGGTGCTCATCCCTGCCGTCGTCGACGTGGCGCGCAAGTACCGTCCCAAGTTGCTCGGCGGGCTCCCGGCGCTCGTTGTTGCCGCGGGCGGCATCTACGGCGGGCGCTCCCTCGCGAGTTCTCTCATGCAGGGCGCCGCTGGCGTATGGGTCGGCACACGCTTCGTCGCTTCTGTCGAGGCGGGGTGCAGCGAGGAGCACAAGCGCGAGGTTGTGTCGTGTGGGTTCGATGGCACAGAGAGGACACTTGTATTGTCTGGGCGGCCGCTGAGGATGAAGACGAATGACTACATTCGCGGGTGGCACGCGCAACCCGAAAGGGTCAAGAAGTTGTGCGACAGTGGGACGGTGCCGATCGAGCACGACCTCGAGGAGGGGAACGACATTGATCCGCCGCATCTCATGGGCCAGGTTGCTGGTTTGATCACGAGGATACAGCCGGCGGGAGAGATTGTTGACGAGATGGTGGCTGAGGCAGTGGACATGTTAAAGCTAGGGAGCACGTATCTCGACGCGACGAAGAGCAGATTGTAGGTTCCAGGCGGAGTCTGCGGATCCGATGCTCGCACTCTACGTGTACTACCACCATTTCTACTACTGAATAACACAGGCTCGTCTTCGTGCCATCGTTCTGTGCGGTTTCTCGATTCTGTTGAGCTTCCCATCAACCAACCATTCCAGTCCCCTTGTGTCCGAGCAACTTGTTTATTCTGCGTTTCTCATCGGGCTGTTCATCCTGGGTCCTCTCGTTTAGACTCGTCAACGCCTAGCCCACGGCCTCTTGTTTTCTTCACACGCTCAAATCAAGTCTCCAAGCCAGCCGGAAACGAAGCACACGTCCCAGGCAGCGGACCCCGAGACGAAGGGGCTCAGCAGCACAAACACGGGCATCCTGACCACGACGAGCCAGACAAGCCTCGCCGCAGTCCACGCGGCCTCGCACAGGCTCTCCTTCCACGCGTCCGGGTCGACGACGCGGCCGATGCGCACGCGCGCCGTGGGATGCACCCTATCCCCCTCCAAGCAGTCCGGCAGCACGCCGTTCCACACGCGCGCCGTCCGCACGGGGCCCTCGCTGCCGTAGAGCTCCCGCAGCTGGTCCGCGTAGCCGGCCGTCGCGTCGCGCGCGTAGACGACGTAGGCCCGCGGCCCGACGACGGGCGCCGGCTGCCGACGGCGCGCGCGGCGCAGGCGGTACGGGCGGAAGACGTAGGTGACGGTCTCGAGATCGGCAAAGTGGCCGAGCAGGTGGTCGTCCTCGGGCGCGCGCGTGTCCTCGAACGAGACGGGCGCGCCCCAGGTGGCCGGGTGCGGGCAGGGCGCGTCGGGCAGGCAGGGCGCGAGGCGGCGGCGCCAGGTGCCGTGGCGGGCCTCCTCCCACTGCAGCTTGCGCGGCTTCTCGGTGATGGCGACGACGAGGTGGCGCGTGTTGAGGAGGTGGCGGACGCGCGGGTCGCGGAAGCTGCGGCCGCGCGCCGTGTCGCGGATGGGCATGAGGACGGCGTCGGCGTCGAGGTTGAAGGGGTCGTGGTGGCTCGGTCGGCGGAAGTCCGTACCGGGCACGGCGCGGCGGAACTGCGTCGGCCGCGGGGTCGGGTCCTCGGGCTGAAGCGGGTGGCGAACCGTGTTGGTGCGGTGGAGGTGGCGGAGGGCCACGAGGCGGGCTTCATAGCAGACGCGCAGGAGCGCGAACGACGCCTGCGCTTGCTTGATGCCGTTGTGTCCGAAAGGGATGGTCTGCGGGTGTGGAAGCAAGGAGAGACGTCTGTTCAGAGACCACTTGCTGGGGGGGTGGGCAAAGGTGATGAGCCGGTTGGGCATGGCAAACTCCCAGATCAGCTCCCTGATTTCAAAGGGAAGGCGGGCAAAGCACCTGAACGTCGTAGTCTTGTTTCTGTTTTGGCCTTGTTAACAACAACACCATGTGAGGATTGATGCGAGGGATGAGGTACCGGTGGATGAGCTCGCGACTTCCCACTTTGATATCGGCTTTGATCTCCTTGAGGGCTTGATTGACTCCGTTCAGGGAGCTGCTCAAAGACGAGGCAAGCCTTTTGCTAGTCAGGCGGAGAGCTTGCAAGTGAGCGTTCGTCTCTTGAGCCTGGTTGCGTGCGTCGTTCTCCTTGCGCTGGATGACAATGCTGGGCTCTTGGAACCTGACCTTGAGCTCTCTCCCTGACGACGCCATGGCTGCGGTCGCTCACGTTGACCGGCGTAAGCTTTGCAGCGTGAAGGCCAGCGGCAAGACCAGATGAAGGCGTGAGGCCGGTCGTGCTCGATGTTCAGTTAGCTCAGCCAGCCGGTATCTATGCTCGAAAGCCAGCAGCAGACAGCAGGCCGCAGAGACGTCGTGAAGAAGAAGAACAAGAAGAACAAGAAGAGAGAAAAGGAAGAAAGATTAGTTGAGTGAGAGAGTGTTGATCTCAGTCGACAGGCTCACTGGTCCTCGCCTATAGAGGACTTGCAGGTCAGCAGAACGCAGAGGACGGTGCCGAAGTTTCTACCACGGAAGGCACGCAGCACCTTCCCTTGGGGCGACTGAGGTCTCGTGGGAGAAATCATCGGGCTGTGTTTGGTTGCAAGCTTATCGCGACATTCACCGGGTCTCAGGCTGTGGCAATTCATAGGGGGCGGCACGGCGGTTTATACACATTCCACGGAAGCGGGCCGTCTTCGAGACTCTTGTGCTGCAATCACAAATGCCAAGACCAACCCCCGCCCAGGCAAAACCGACTCTGTGGCCTATGCTTGACTCGTGAACAGTTCAAGCGGCGAGACAAGCCATCACCGTGGTCGTGTGGCCAGACCTGGCGGTCTCACAATCGTTGACGAATTCCTGACCCTGCGTTACGCTGCTCCAGAAAGAGGTTCACCCAACAGAAACCGACGGCCTCTCATCAGCATGCTTGAAAAGAGCAGGAAAACCCGTGTCGCTCTTTTACACCATCGTCCATAGGCCCCGGGGCGAGATACAAATCCTGTGACGCAGGTTGTTACGATGTTTAGGTAACTCCTTAGGTAACCCTGACATTCTCCAACCCAAAACCCAAGCAACCGTCCCTAAGATGACTACAAACTCGTCGCCATGAGTCACCGCAGGCATCCAAGTAGACTGTGAAGACCCTGTGACGTGGTCGTCACGGTGTCTATTCTCCTTCATCGTCAATTTCCGCTTGGTTGTCCCATGAGACTTGAGAGCAAGCCGTGGCCTGTCCTGCAGGCACATTCGTTAGGCAGAAGAAAAGTCTACCAAGAGCAGAGTGGCCGAAGCAAAGGTGCTCATATGGGAACACCAAATGGGAAGAGCACCGCACAGCTCATGAACGAAATGAAGCAATGCCATGGATACGTGGCTCGTATTTATACAGTAGCGCTACCAATGACGCCGCTGGTGACCCCAGCCAGCGTTGATCCCGCTTCATCCCAGGGGGCCAAAATGCCTCTAATTGAGAATGAGAACCGCAACGATGATGGGCATGAAATTTCAGCAACCGGGCGCCTAGTTCCTCATGTGCCGTGCACCATGACTCCAGGCTCCTTTAGGACAGACCAAATAGCAAAAGTGAAAACCAGTCGCGATCAACCTCCGAAGGAAAAAAAAAATACAAGTGGTCTAACTGCCACGGAAAAGGAACTGCATGTCCTCCGGGCTGAGCGACTTCATCGCCTTGTCATCCCCATTGACGGTCGAGTGAATCATGTTCGTCTTCTTCTCTTGGAGCTGAACGATACGGCTCTCTACCGAGTCCTCGATGCAAAGACGGGTAATGGTACAGGGACGGCCCTGTCCGATACGATGGCAGCGATCCGCAGACTGCCACTCGGCCGCAGGGTTCCACCAGCTGTGACTTTGATCAGCAAAACGCACATAGAAGCAGGGAACGAGGGGATTGCTTACGGGTCCACGATAAAGACGTGAGACGCCTCAGTCAGGTTGAGAGCCACACCTCCCGCCTTCATGGAAACCAGGAAGCACTCGACTTCTGGGTTCTTCATGAAATGGTCGATAGATGCTTGTCGTTGCGCGGGCGTCATCGAACCATCGAGCATGACAGTGGTGACGCCGGCGCGGCGGAGACGCCACTCGATGAGCTGAAGCATCGACGTAAAGTTGGAAAACACAATCGACTTGTGCGTGGCCTTGTCAGACCGGAGCTTGTGCAGCTCGTATACGAGCGTCTCGATTTTGCTTGACGAAGTCCACTCCTCCATCTTGATGCGGTTGATGATGGACGACTTCTTTACCATGGCCTGGTCCTGCTCAATCTCGGGCTGCTCCAGGTCGATCGACAGCGGTATATGGCACATGGGACACGACAGCTCATCCATGTTGCTCTTGGACGACATCATGTAATCCCTGGCGCAGCCACGGCAGAAGTCGTGCCGACATTTGGACCGAATCGCATCCTCGGCGGGTTCGTCGCAAATGCAGCAGACCATGATGTTCTGACCGCCCTCGGCATTCTTCTTCAGGATCAAGTCAGGATGATCGGCAATCTGGCGCATTTGCATGAGTAGACCGAAAATGTTGGCATACTGGTTCAGCATGACGCCACGAGCCACATACGTGTCGAACTGGCGTTGCGTGTTGGTCATGATGCTGCGCGCAAAGTCATTCTCCACCTCGCTGAAGAATTCCCGGTTGATATTGATCTCTTTGACGGGCAGGTCCATGGCACTCATGTGGTCCTTCTTCAAGCGGCGAAGCATGAACTTGCTAGTTATCAGTCGCAGCTTTTTGAAGGCGATGGCACCGGGTCCCATGGCACCGTATTTAATGATGGGGTTCAAAATCTCCTGGTTGAACACGGACACGTGCTGAATGGCAGAATGTCCGCAACTGTTGCACATCTTGTGCTCGTCCATGTTCCACTCGAGTTGGCTGCACTTGCACTGCTTGCAAAGATACGAGGCGAATGGTGTAATGTTGAGGAAGCGCACAAGTGAGAACAGCTCTCCGATTCGGTTCTGGAGAGGCGTGCCTGTCAGACACCATCTGTAGTCGCCTTTCAAGGCGATGCATGCCCTGGCAGTGCCCGTGTCGCGGCCCTTGATGTAGTGTGCCTCGTCGAGAATAATTCGGTGGAAGTCGATCTGGTGGATTATGCTCTTCTGTTTGTGGACCTCGCCCTTCTTGCGCTGGTTGAACCCCTTTTCCTGCTTGCGAAACATGGACTCCAAACTATTGTACGACATCATGATGACATCGAACTTTTTGAGCTCCTTGGCTGTGACATTCTTGACCTTTGTATTGGTGCCATGGAAAACGAACGTCTTCAGGGTTCCGTCTGTGTACGAGGCAATCTCGTTGGTCCATTGCATCAGGGCAACAGGCGGGACTAAAACGAGGGAAGGCTTCTTGATCGAGCCGTGGTCGGACATGATGAGGGAGACGCTCTGTAGGGTCTTGCCCAAGCCCATCTCATCACCCAGAAGGCCACCCTTCCAATCAGTCATCTCCATCTCTTTCATCCAAGCAACACCCTTCAGCTGAAAAGGCTTGAGCTGTCGTGTAATATTGGTGGGCTGAACCGCCTCAGCACCGGACATGGCAGGCCGTGCTTCCAAGTCTGTCCACATCGTGTCGAGTTCCGGGTGGTGTCTCTCAAGTCGGTCCCGCTCTCGGCGGGCACGGCGGCCGAGCACAAAGTCATGCGAATCGTCAAGATTTATCCGAGCGCTAGCATCAGCAAGCTCGGGGAGCTCCTCGTCCGACTGATCTGGGTCGAAATCATCATCATCAGGCTCCGAAGAAGGAAGGAGTGGCAACGTGGCAGCCGATCTGAAGCCTTGAGGAGCATTGGGCCGAGTTGGACGCTTCTTCTTAGGCAGCGCTCCGGAACGTGGCCGCGCAACTTCAACCATATCATCGCTGCTGTCGTCCTCGCCCGTCTCCTCGGGGGCTTCAAAATCATCCGATTCTGTCTTGATGCTCAAGGCCTCGCTAAGGTCTGAAGACGAAGCTTGACCATTGGCGTCATCAGAGAGGGCATCGTCTTCGGAGTCAGTGATAAGCTTCTGCTTCTTCGTGGGTCGTTCGATGCTTGCCGAGAGTGGAGACTTTGATGGTCTGCCGCGTTTGCCCTTGACTACAGGGGTTCTATCCAAAGAAGCTCGCAGACCACGGCCTGGACGACTGGTAGACACGAGAGCTGGCATGTCCATCTTTTCATACTCTTCTTTTTGTAGGCGCCGAGCAATGATTTCGTCGGGAGGAGTGTCAAAAGCCAACTCGTCCTCGTCACTGTCGAGAACTTCATACGTGTTGCTGCTGCGCTTCGAGGCGCGAGCGAGTGAAAACCGGGTGTTTCTAGTGGCCCTCTCACTAGGGGCTCTTTCCATGACTGGAATTTGCACCTCCAGACGACTCATCATGGGTCGAGTTGATGCCGACTTCTCGTCAGCAGCCGGTGGCGCTGGCGTGACCTCGTGGCTCGTAGCCGGAGTAGAAGCCTCGCTTGCTGAGGTGAAGGTAGCCGAGGTCGAGGCCGACGTTGTCGATTTGCTGCCTCTCACGACCACACTCAAGGGTTCGATAGCGTCCACAGGCGGCAGAGAAACTGCAGAGCTCAGCTTTTGGGTCGAGGTAGACCTGGTCATTCGGCGAGAGCGACTACTCTCTTTAAGAATTAGGTCAGTGAAATGGTGTGGACCGTGGTATAAGTGGTGCTGAGCAAAAGGGGACTACGTAGTGCGGGGGTCAACAGCACTCACCAGGGGTCTCAGGCCTGGACGCAAGAGAGTGCGCGGCTGAGGTGCGGGCTTTGCGAGGCGCCATTTTGCCCAAAGATCGGGGAGAACAGGACGGGTAGGGCCAGTATATCTTGCGGCGATTGAGATGGCGTCCGGGGGGACACCGCAAAATCTTGCCTCAGGTCAATCGATCAACCAACAGGGAAGATGACGACAACAGCAGGACCAGCTGCAAGGCTTTGCGCGCGCGTCAACCAGTCGCAACAGACGAGCGGGCGACTCTGTGGAGGAAGCGCTCTGCCTCACTTTCTAACAGGCTATGGGGCGTGACAATTGACAAGAAGGGGCCGGAAGCCGACGAACAAGACGAAGATGACCCGGGGGAGTGAAGAAGGAAGTCAAAAGTAGTCGGTCTGAAAGGGTGGGAAAAGTTGTTAGATCCGGGGAAGGCAGCAGCGGCGAAATTGGCCAATCCGGGGCAAGTGCAGCTGTAGCCTTCTTCGGTGAGAGGAACAGAAAGATGACAGTGAGAGCATAAGGTTGGTCGATGGCGACGGGTGGAAGGGCTGAGTTGCGACCGAGGACGCCTCGGCAGCTCACACTCGCAAGAGAAACGGGAAGCCTTGTTCAATAGCTGAAAGGTACGTCCGCCCGTTCACTGGTGTCAGGGGGATGGACCAACGGGGCAGAGCTGGCACTAGGTTGCCACCCTTTTCCTCCGAAAAAGTAGTGGTGAATACTGACAACTGGGGAGTTGGCGGACGCGTTTGGCGGGCAGGGGCGGGGTGGCAAGTCTTCACGAAGTCACGTGGAGCCCCTTTTCCCATTAAAACCCTTGCATCCGGGGGCCGTGCGCTGTGGCGACTGACTCTGTCCAAACGCCATACAGTGCATCGCACCCATGGTTTTTTTGGATATCATAGACGTCATTGGCATTACTTGGACACGACGAACCTCGAGTTCGCTTCTTCGCAGAAGCAAATTGCCTTGGCTGGGACGTTGAACATTCGGCAGGCTTTACACATGCAGCTCGATGCATCATTGCCATATTTTCAACCACGGCTACATCATTGGTGACGGCAAATGTGGACTGATTTCGAAAGACTGTCTCACGTCCCTTGCGGACCAGTGGCAAGGCAGAACTCGAAATGCTCACGAAGTCACGTGACTTTGCAGAAAGTAGCGCTGCCCAGAAATGTGCGGGTCGCTCAAAATAGCACTGTGATGATATGCGAGACTCCAAGCTACCACACAGTGCTAATAAGGACATGATTCAGCAGCTGGTGAATCGGCTGGGAAAAGGGGCCCAAAAAGGAAAGACCCCCACACCGTGTTTGCAATCCCTGCAGGAACGATGCCCCCCGGTCCCCGCGAGGTACCTTCATAGGCACCGCGTTGAGGGACCCTTGGGACCGGACCGTTCTCTGCGCGTCTCCCGTTCCCTTTCCCTCGGCAGCTTGGCGGGTTCCTGCCTAGCCGACATCAAGTTGCCACTTGCCTCACACTGATCTTGGGCCAAAAATCTGTGAGCCGCATCAGAGTACCTACCTACGTTGACCAGAATTACCAACTGCGGCCTGTGACCACCCGACTCTTGTCAGAACTTGCATAGGCCGAACCGTCTTCAGCCGTCTTATTTTCCTCATCATCTCAACTGCGTCAGAGGCTCACACTCAGCACGATGGTTCGCAACGTGACCGGTCCGTGAGTACCATCGCCGCCAGCACTTGCCTCTGAGTACCCAGGCAGCCACTAACTCAAGGACAAGGCGATCGGCCCTTACTTCTTTCCTCGCCGTCCGTCATCTCCCTCTCTGATCTGTCGAGGTTTTCATCCTGATAGTGTATCATTAGGCAAATAACATCTCCGCCCAGCAAATCACCCGCGATGTAGAGCAGCGTCGTGCAGCTGCCGCTGCTTCCCTCCAGAATCAAGCCCAGGATGATGACGACCGAGGTGACGACAATGAGGATGAGCCACAGCAGGACGGTGACGGAGACCATCGCATGACTAATGCCGCCGATGAGACGGCTGAAACAACTGCGTCCGCCGACACATCTATTGATGTTGCTGCCCCGGCTACGCCTCCGCTCGCGACCGCCCGCCAGAGAGCCGCCGAAAAGAGAAAGGCTAGCAAACTCGCTGCTGATAAGATCAAGGCCCGTAAGGCGGCCAAGAAGGCTAAGAAGAGCGGCGACGATGACGGAGATTTCTTTGGCGACCTTGCTGACCTCCTCGATGGTCCGGTGGTTCCAGTGCCCGGTCAGCTGAACAACTGCGAGGTTTGCAGCAAACGTTTTACTGTTACACCATACTCCAAGGCTGGCCCTGATGGTGGACTTCTATGTGCCGCCTGTAGCAGAAACGTGAAGAAAGGCGATGACAAGCCGAAGAAAAAGGTCACCAAGTCGACTGGCGGGGTTGGCAGACGCCGTGCCGTCCAGAGCAACATCATGGACGGCAACTATCATCGCGGCGCCAAGAGCCTCCTGACTCTCTGCATCAACACCCTTGTCAAGAACCTCAGTTTGGCCGAAGATTTGGGGGATCTGCCTTCTCATGTCATCGACAAGATCGCCCGCAGCATCGCGAAGAGGCGTCTCCTCGATCCCAAGACTCTGGCCCTGTTCACCCGCCCATCCATTGAGATTCTCAGCATCTATGACGGTGCCAAGCTCACTCCAGATGACTACATTACTGTCCTTATGGTTTGCAGTAATCTGAGGCAATTGAGGGTTCGGAACGGTATCCAATTCAGGGATTCCGTCATGACCTATCTTATGGGCCGCACCATGAGTCTAGAAAAACTCTCGCTTCATGGGTCCAATCTGATCAGCGCTGGCCACTGGACGGAGTACCTCACCAGCAAGGGTCATGCCCTGACCACGCTTCAGGTATACTACACCAACGAGCACTTTGGAGACGATGTGCTAGCGTTGCTCTCCGGCTGCTGCCCAAAGCTGGAACGTCTTAAGATCTACAGTAACCAGGAAGTCACGAGCGACGGCATGAGAAAGCTTGGCGACATCAAAACCCTGAAGCACATTAGCCTTCACCTCCTGGCCCCCATCGCCCCTAAAGCACATGTCTCGATCATACGCGACCTAGGCAAGAACCTTGAAACTCTGTCATTGAAAGCGGCCCCTGCCATCAACGACGAAGCTCTCACCGCCATCAAGGCCAACTGCGCCTCCCTCACTAAGTTGCGCATCACACAGAGCGAGGCAATCACAGATGAGGGCTTTAGCGACCTATTCACTGATTGGTCTAACCCTCCGCTGAGATTCATCGATTTTGACAAGGACCGTCACGTTGATGCTGAGGACGCGGTGGAAAACCCCAACAAAATCGGACTCTGCGCTGACGGCTTCCGCGCCCTCATGGCTCACTCTGGCCGTGAGCTATGCTTCCTCTACATATCCAGCTGCCGCAGCATCACGAAGCAGGCCTTCGAAGAGGTTTTTGTAGAGCATAAGCAATATCCTAAGCTACAGATTCTCGACATTAGCTTCTGTGGCGAGGTCGACGATTTCGTCGTTGGCTCTGTGTTCCGAAGCTGCCCGAAACTTCGACAGCTAAAGGTCTTTGGCTGCATGAAAGTCACCAGCCAGGTCAAGATTCCTAGGGGCACTCTCCTGATCGGCGTGCCCAACGCGATGGGCGTGGAAATTGAGGGAACTGAGTAGTCGAGGGCTTAAGGAAATGAAACACCGGGATGACGAATGAATCATGAGCAAAGGGCGTTTGGGGGTCTAGCACCTTGTAGAATTCACTTCGGAATTAGCTTTCTTATTTATTACCCTTTTCGCTTCCACTTTCTACCTGCCTGCTGCGAAACTTACTTGGTGCAGAACCAGGACAGTTGCTGGACACACCACTCAAATTAAGTAGCGCATCAATGACGACCAATCTGCCGGAAAGGCAAACACCACAAGCTCTTCGCGCACGGAAGTGATTGTCATAATGTGGTGGATTAGATGTACTCCTTCCCGAGGACTAGGTACTTGCTAAATCTTGCACCCCTCGCTTATACAAGATCTGCCTTTTTCATCAAATCATCATGTCATTTGTTCACAACCTTTCGCTGCCTTTTCTTCCTCTTTAATCGGCCATGTGGTCCTTGACGAACTGGATGTCTTGCTTGACATAAGAGTTCAACCTCGCCTCGAGCTCTGCGTCGGTCAGCGCGGCAGACTGCCTGGCCATACCCTTGGGGCTGCATGCGCTCGTGTCCTGAAGGTAATGCAGGTGAGCCTCAATGTCGAGGCCGAGGGTACCGCCGTTGCAGCCGATGCTGGCGATGCCCTCGCAGACGCGAATGTCGGCCACGGTGTAGTCGACCTTGTCGGAGCCACCGCCCGAAAGCCAGTACTCGACGCTGGTGTGCCTGTAGCCGAGAATGATGGGGGGAAGACGGGGGACGGGGTCGGCGGCGTGGGTGACGCGGTACTCGGCGCCGGCCTGGGCGGAGACAAACTTGGCGAAGTAGTCGTTACCGACACGGGGCGAACCGTACGTGTAGATGGTGACAGGGATCGACTCCTTGGCACGGAGGTAGGCGGCGCCGATGGTGGCAACGGCGGCGCCGAGGGAGTGGCCGGTAGCAACGACGGTGTAGTTAGGGTTGGCGGCGCGAGCCTGTTTGATGGCGGCGATGGCCGGGGTGCGGATCTCGCGCCAGGCGTTGTTGAAGCCGGTGTGAACCTTGCAGTTGGCTGTGAGGTCGGTGCAGCCAGTGAAGGCGAAGAGAATGTTGGAGATCCAGTTGCGAATGCTGCGGCGTGTCAGTGGAGGACTCGAGCAGTGGGAGGACTTGTGTCTTACTTGGAGGAGCCGCGAACTGTCAGCACAATGGTGCGGGCGACATCGTCCCTGACCACGAGACCTTCAATGCCAGAGGTGACACCGGCGAAGGAGGCTATAGTCGTAGCACGGTTCGCCTCAACCTGAGGGCAGCCGTTCTCCGAGCACTTGACAGCGGCGCCAGGCGCATTGGCCCCGTTACAGTAGGCCGCAGCAGCGTACTGGACGTAGAAGCGGAAGTTGTTCAGGTCTGCACTGGTGACGCCGACGGCTGGGGGGGGGGGGACGTCAGTCGAGCAAGCATGAACTGGAGTCGGGGGACTGACCTCTTTCATCAAGAGCCGCAAGAGTGTTGCCATACTCCTTGATTGGCAAGACACCGGCCGTGGCCGTGGCGGCCAGGAGAGACAGGACGGGCAGCTTGAACAACATGTTGACTGAATTTCACAACAGCAACAAGGAAGAAGAGCTTCAGCGAGCGAACAAGACGCTTTGGTTTCAAGCCCGTCGAGATCTTGAGTACCACCTTGAGCAACTGGAGTCCGTGTAATCGAAAGCGAGACTGCAGCAAGGGCACATGATGTTACGAGACCGGCGCGGCAGAGCCTTCATATAGAGGATCATCTGGGGAAGGCCATGCTCATCGCGGGATGAACATGTTCCTGGGCGCCGGTACCATGCTCCCTGTTCGGGAAGGAGGTGACAGGGCCATCCCTTGAAAGGCCCGTAAGTGTGCACGGAGAAGAGGGGGGCGGAACGGGGGACGGTCTAGAAGATAGTTGGGAAGTTCCGACATGTCTCAGCATCCGCACATCCGGAGGCTGCAGCAGAGATGCGCCTCGCGGATGGGTCAGAGATGAGATATTGGCTTGTCGCGGCGGAAAAAGCACACATGACAAGGCTCCGTTGGTCAGCAGCAATACAACAGGTGGTAGACGGCGTTCGCGAGGCGCCGAACGTAGCAACGTCTTGCGCCCATCACCACAGGTTTACTGGACGATTGACCAGTAAGATCGCATGGTAGCGTTGCAGGCCGGTTTCCGCCCCGGCCACAAGGTGACAGCCAATACGACTGGCTGAGAGGCAAGGGGTGCGAAGCGCAAAGTAACAGAGTGAGAGAAAAAAAAAACAATCAATCTTGAATTCCCCCGCAAGCCGCTCGGTGCGCGAACGGGGCATAGGTTCGTTTGTTGGGAAGAAGCGGGTTCTCGTCGGGCTTCGTCTCTGGCGAAGCAGCTCCCCAAACCAGCAAGGCTTCGGGCGTGGCTGCCAGAAGGGGTACAACAGACGAGGCGGCCAAGGATATCGCGAGATCTGGGATGGTGGGGGATGGGGTAAGATCGGCACTTGAAGGTGTCCACGCGGACGAAGAGTGCGGGCGCCTGTCGGGGTGGCTGGCGATTGGCCGGCGATTGGTGCACGCTGGGTTCGTATGGAGTCCGGAGCTGTCACTGGATGTGTGTGCCCGGGAAGCGCTGCGCCGAACAAAGGCGGTGGAAGATGGCGTCGGCATCGTGAGCTGAGAGCAGGATGCGGTCGACTTGGATCGTTTTGGGGGGGTTCCTCCGACCGGTTCCACGACGAGTCAACACTTCGGCGCGGACTGGAGTCTGATGACCCAGTGCTGGATCGTGTGAGGAGCCCGGAAATGAGGGCTTTCTGTTCTTTGACACTGCTGAAGCTGAAGCTGCTCGATGCTCGGGGATCACCACCGGGATTGCTGTGGTTTGTTGAGGGGGGAGAAATGAGTGATGGGGTCTTGTAGGTAGGTGGACACGAGGTATCTGCCGAAGGGTTTTTTGCTGTCGAAGTACTTCCCCACCGCCATGTGTCCCCCACAGTCCACCGCTGGGTATTGCCTGCCAAGTCTTTGCTTCCTGGGTCGTGCCTTCATGATCATCGTCACCATGCAACCCCCCTCCTGCCTCCCTTCTCATCTCGACCTCAGCTGCCCCGCCTGTGTGTGCCCACCTACTGGAAGTGCAATTTGCCATGAAAGTCATCAGGACGTTCCAGCTCATCATGCTCATATCGCTCCCCCATGCGGCTGAGCTACTGAGCCGAGTTGGGTAACTCACAGCATTGCGTACACGACACTGCGCTGCTGCGGACCATCCCATCCATCCATCTCTCCCCGCTACCCCCCCCCCCCCTGGCCATCTTGTCAAATGACGATGCTGATGCCACCCAATTTATCAAGCCAGCAGCCGAGAGCCCCGGGATTGCAACCCTATCTCAGCAGCACAGCAACACAGCGAGCGGCACGGTGTCCAACTCTCCAGCTTTTGCGCGTCTTGTCTGCCGATGCCAACCAGTGGCGGCCCAGCGGCAGCCCGAAGTGGCCGGTAGACAAGGGGGCGCCCAGCCTCAGTGGGCTTTCGCTTGCCAGAATGGGCATCGTCACATCACGAGGCCCTTCGAACCACGACTTCAATGCGAGCCTACGTGTTGATCCAGCAATAGGATTCAATTCCCGTACACCAGCCTTCGACTCGAGCCTCGGTTGACACGATTGTCTGGGGTTTTGACTTGTGATAGAGCAAATTCACCATCGACGAGACTCTGACGAAGACGACATCCACAAGGCACTTCGTTCCAGAGGGATCTGACAATCATTGTCGGGCTCGGCAAAGTTCGTCAGAGTCTTCTTTCTTGTTCTACAAGGGCATTGTCTTTCGCTGCCACTACTGTGCAGATGTCTCGCTCGCCTCTCGGCCGAGTCGGCTCGCCTGAACAGCACCACAACTGACAGCATTGCTCGTCATCGTGGTGATCCACCAGATCTATCAGTCTCCGGCCCCATCCACCGCACCGTTGCACCCTGCCCACCGCAACGACTTTCTTCTCTGGGGCTAGTGACTGTTTCTGATTGCTCAACTGGCTCGCTTGGCCAAAGGGCCGAATTGATACAGCAGATCGATCGATATATGCGGTCTAGTATACCACAGGCGAGCCGCCCCGCAGTCTTTTTCGACCACTTGCCAGTGGCTCGGCCCCTGAATTGGTGCAACCTCACAAGTTGATCTGTCAAATCGTGGACCAAAATTCATGGATGCCAAGTCAGGAACGTATCATTCTTAGCTGGGATGTCAACCTTTTTCTTGATACATATTGCGCCAAGTGAGCCTGGCGATCTGCATGTTCAGGGCTCAAGTGAGCCATCGTAGGAACGCAGGGCAAGAAACAAGATGCCGGCATGCTAAGCCAGGCGTTGTGTCAGACTATAAGTATACACGTTGTAAGCCGTAGGATCTTGAGGGTGTCCCGAGTCGTTCCATCTTTGGTACGGCGGAAGATCGATTCATCTGGTCTCACTGATACAGAGCCAAAAAGCGTGAAGCATCTTCGCCTTGCATTTCGTGAACATGGCGCCCTCCCCTCTGAATCTTCTGCTCCTCGGAGCAGTTCTTTCCCAAAGCACAGCCAGTGTCATCAGCCCAAGACAACGAGTCCCTGATGGGTTCGTTGCCAAATCAGTCTACCCTACACCGCATGGTGGCTGGGACCGTGACTGGGTAGACAGCTACGAACGCGCCAAAGCTATCGTTGACCAGATGACTCTGGCCGAAAAGACCAACATTACTTCCGGCAGCGGTTGGTGGATGGGTACGTGCCGGTTCGCTACTATGACTTGAGAAAAAACTGCTAACCAGAGACCAGGGTACGTGACTCAGGCATCCCAAGACGGTCGATACTCTGTGATACTGACATTGAAGTAGACGTTGCGTCGGCAACACTGGCAGCGCCCCTCGCGTTGGATTCCCTCAACTCTGCCTAGGTGATGGAGCCACTGGCGTCAACCAAGTTGATAATGTCACCGCGTTCCCGCCTGGCATCACCACAGGCGCCACTTGGGACAAAGACCTCATCTACCGTCGTGCCGTCGCCCTCGGGAAAGAGTTTCGCGGCAAGGGTGTCAACGTCTGGTTAGGGCCCAGTGTTGGTCCCCTGGGCCGCAAGCCCAAAGGCGGTCGTAACTGGGAGGGCTTCGGCTCGGACCCCGTGCTTCAGGCCAAGGCTGGCGCCCTGTCGATCAAAGGTGTTCAGGAGCAAGGTGTCATCGCCACGATCAAGCATCTGATCGGAAACGAACAGGAAATGTCAGTCTCAATCATGGTCGTTCTTTTTTGCTTGCTTTTTCTTTAACTGACATTTTCAGGTACCGAATGTATAACCCTTTGCAGCAGGGTCTGAGCGCGAATATTGGTAAGTGATCGGCGTCGACGTGCCGGCACGTCATCAAATCTGACAGGGATAGACGACCGAACCTTGCATGAGATCTACCTTTGGCCGTTTGCCGAGGGCATTCGTGCAGGCTCCGGCGCCGTCATGACAGCCTACAACGCGGTTAGTTGTTGCTTCTTCGATAATGCGACGGTGGCAGGCTACTAATGGCATTGACAGGTCAATGGTTCTGCAAGCGTGCACAACAGCCAGATGATCAATGGCGTTCTGAAGAATGAGCTGGGCTTTCAGGGGTTCGTCATGAGCGATTGGTTTTCGCAAATGTCTGGTGTCGACGCTGGTAAATCACGTCCCGCCTAGGCATGCTGCTCGCCGACTAACATGGAACAGCAATTGCGGGCCTCGATATGGCCATGCCTGGAGATACCCAAGTGCCCCTGTTCGGTTACAGCTACTGGATGTACGACTTGACCCGCTCCGTCCTGAATGGCTCAGTTCCCATGGATCGTCTGAACGACATGACCACGCGCATCGTCGCGACATGGCTCAAGTTCGGACAAGACGAGGGCTTTCCTAAGGTCAACTTCCATCTGCTGTCCAACGATGCTGTGGGAGATCTCTACCAGGCCGCCTGGCCCTTCTCGCCCCGAGGTGTTATCAATGAGTTTGTGCAAGTCCAAGCGGACCACAACCTCGTCGCACGAGAGGTTGCTCAAGATGCCATCACCCTGCTGAAGAACAATGGCAGTCTTCTTCCGATCGCGACATCTCGTTCCATCAAGGTCTTTGGCACTGCTGCACAGACAAATCCCGACGGCCCCAATGCGTGCGACTTCCGCAGCTGCAACAAGGGTGTCCTCGGCATGGGCTGGGGGTCAGGCGTGGTCGACTACATGTACATTGACGATCCCATCGGCGCACTGCGCAAGCGTGCCGGCAACGTCGAGTACTTTGCCACAGACAACTTCCCGCGGGTGCCAACGCCCAACGCGAACGACGTGGCCATCGTCTTCATCACTTCGGACTCTGGCGAGAACTCCTTTACCGTCGAAGGCAATAACGGTGACCGCAACTCCGACGGGCTTCGGGCTTGGCACAACGGCGACCGTCTTGTGAAGGACGTTGCCGCGGCTTACAGCAATGTCATCGTCGTTGTTCAGACTGTCGGCCCCATTCTCGTCGAAGAGTGGATTGACCTGCCCAGCGTCAAATCCGTGCTCTTCCAGCACCTTCCGGGACAAGAAGCTGGCGAGTCGCTCACCAACGTCCTCTTTGGCAATGTTTCGCCTTCGGGTCACCTTCCCTACAGCATCACGCGTCGCGAGGAGGATCTTCCCGAGAGTCTCACGAAGCTCACGGGCGGTTCGACCGGACAGCCGCAGGACACCTTCTCCGAGGGTCTTTACATCGACTACCGTTATCTGAACAAGAACGGCATCAAGCCCCGTTTCGCCTTCGGACACGGCTTGTCTTACACAAGCTTCAACTTCACGAACCCCTCCATCAGCGCCGTGACACAGCTGTCCCGCACTCCGCCCGCGCCCCCATCGCGAGCCCCCGTCCTCAACTTCAACCAAGCCATCCACCCCTGGCAGCAGGGCGTTGTGCCAGCCGGGTTCAACAAGATTTTCCGTTACCTCTACTCGTGGTGCACCGAAGGCGAGGCCAAGCAGGCCGTCCGCGACCGTGAAGACGGCAAGAAGTACCCGTACCCGCCCGGCTACACAACGGTGCAGCCATCCGCGGTCCCAGCCAGCGGCGCCTCGGGCGGCAACCCCCGGCTGTTCGACGTCGCGTTCCGCGTGTCGGTGACGGTGCGCAACACGGGCGCGACGCACACGGGCCGTGCCAGCGTGCAGGCGTACGTCCAGTTCCCCGACGGCGGCCCGGAGACGCCGATTGTGCAGCTGCGCGACTTTGAGAAGACGTCGAGGCTGGCGCCGGGTGGCAGCCAGGTTGTCACGCTGGCGCTGACGAGGAAGGACCTCAGCATCTGGGATGTCGTGAGCCAGAACTGGATCGTCCCGTCGCCGGGCGGGCGGTACAAGATCTGGATCGGCGATGCCAGTGATAGGCTGTTTACTGCTTGCTACACCGACACGGGCAGGTGCGAGAGCGGACTTCAGAGCCCCGTGTAAGCGACGGATGGCCCTATCGTTTACTGAGCGTGTTTCTGGCAGGGCTCGCCTACATGATTGTTCGTTTCAAAGAAGAAGCGTGGGATCAAAGCTGATGATGATGGGATGAGGCAGTGATACAATAATCATGTTTTCCCCTTCATGGCCTAGTCCTTGTGATGTGCCATCTGAACATGACCGTGGACAAGGTCTCTCATCTGCTTGATCAGACCTCGAATTGGCGCTTGATATTTTATCCTTGTACGGGCTACAAGGCGGATGTCGTGCCACCCAGCTTGTCAGCGGGAGCGTACCCCTGTCTCTGCCGCAGATGGGTGATTGGCGGTCACAAAATGAGAAGCGAATCAGACATGTGGGAAGCCCCTGCACAAAAAGGAACAAGGAAAAAAAAAACCTCTTCTTCCCAGCACAATCAATCGGTCTCATGAAGAGAGAAAGGCAAAAGATGTGGACACGCCGGGAATTGAACCCGGGACCTTCAGCAGTTTAGTATTGATCAGATCAATGCTAAGCAGATGTCATACCCCTAGACCACACGCCCGTTTGTTGTTGTAGGGCAAGGTGTATTGTGAGTACATGTTGCTAGTGATAAATCACGCAGAAATGAGGTTGTGGATCTGTGGTCTGTGGAAATGAATGCCGGCTTTGACCATTGATCCACCCAAACCCAACGTCTTATGTCATGGTATCCCCATCGCTCTCATAACAGTTAGTTCGGTAGAGGCATTTCGAGCGTTCTGAAAGAGGCAGGTAGGGTAGGCGTACAATCATGGAGCAGGCCACAGAGACCAAATCCTCTTGGCGCTCAGCCCTTGCGGGCCGGTGATTCCATGTATCCATCTGTGCTTCCAGAACATCGGGCTTGATAGCAGCCGATGTGGCGGTTCGCTGACGTCCAGCGCGACACGTTTACCAATGCAAGGGATGGGCTCTGTCATGCGCGTGATGTGATGCGAAGAACGCATCAGTAAGACGTTCAACGATGAACTAGAGTCTCGACACACACGCATGCTCCAGGGCTTTGGAAACATGGACAAAGGTCGGCACGTGGGCCCAGCTCGTGAGACCTTATTCAGACCCGGATCCGGAGCGAAGCCCAGGAACTTGTGTCTTTCTGATTTATGATGGGTTCTGTCAGTACTCGGAGAGGAGTGGCTCGCTGTCTTACATCTGAACGCGAGGAGAGGAGAGGTAGGTCCTGCATACAGGACGAACTGTCGAAGGTAAGAAGACGAGCTTGCAAGCGCCCAGCCAATGGTATATGTGAGAATGATTAGCAGGGAATCTATCGATGTGAGAGGTGTCGTCAAGCTGTCCATCCCATCATTCTGGCACGGCGTACCGCCCACTGCAACGGACCAGACTGGTTAGCTGGTTGGTGGTCATTCTGGTGGTGTGGAACGTGCCAGTTGGTGAACCGTCTGATCAACGTCTCCCCTGATCGATCTGAAATATCTTCTTGTTCACGACACCACGCCAAGCCCATGATGGCGCCGGGGTCCCTACCATGTTGGCAGCAGCCTATCGCCGAAGGGCTCTTCGCTCGCAGCCGCCACCAACGGGTGCAACCGCTGGATAAGGAAGAGATGTGGCGGGAACATGGGATCCGTCGGGATCACCGCTCATGTGTTCGGTTCGATCCGAGGCTGCATCGGGCATGTGTTTGTACGGGCGATGCATTCTTCTAGATGGCGAGAGAGAGAGAGAAAGAGAGAGAGTCTGCAAGCTACCTAGGGACCTAAGGTAGGTACCTCCCTAAGGTAAGGTCGGTAAGGTACCTACCCTGAGGTACCTTACCTAGGTACCCATCTACCTGACCTTGGATAACGTCAAAGGGTTTGCATTGGTCCGTGTGGTGTTCGAAAAGGCCCCTTTCTTCCTTCCTCCCTCTCTCGCACTCAGAAACATGGCCGCTCACCGCATCTGGACGTGCCTCCCTAAGGTGCCTTCCTACCTCACCCAGGCAGGTAAGATATCTTGGTAGACATAGATGGCACATCGCCCAGCATTAGGCCTAGACCATATTCACTCTACCGGCCCTTGATGCTGCGGCATCAGTCAGTCATTCCCTCGACTCGTCTAGACCTCGACGCGCCACTAGAATTTTATTCAGAACCCCATCTGGAAGGCGTCGCCATGCTCGTTGCAGCGTTGGCAGTCGCATTCCATCGTTCCCTTCTTCCACACACCACCAGAAGTTCTCCCTGACAGATCAAGGAGGACTGCATGTCTCGCATCTTTCCATGTGAGCCACCGTTTCGCCTGATTATTGTATGCTACGTATCCTGCAAGATCATTCTCAGCTAGGTGCCAATCCCAGATTTGCCATTCAGGCCCTCAACACCATCTTTGGGACCCTGGCCACAAGTGGCTTGATCACCGGAGTGACCGCTCATCAAGCTCTACCGCTCATGCCTTGGCCATATCCATGAGCTTCAATAAGATCCTTACTTTGACTTAAAAGGGTCCATGACCCTCTCATTATCACAATTCATCTCGAGCACCTGCACCAGGCCCCTCTACCAAGCTTCTCACCTCCGTCTTGACGCAATTCAAACCCTTTCGTCACTGTACCTCCAGTATCATCGACTGCCACCAACACACGTCTGCTCCTACAGTATTGCTGGATGGAAAAAAAGTGACCCGGCAAAGACGTTGCTTTTACCCTGAAGCCCAACATGAAAACCAGCTTCGTGCTCAAGGGTATTAGTGCCCTCTTGAGCATCACTGGCGTCGCCGCAGCTCCTGCTACGAATAGTAAAAATAACGATAAAGCTTGCTTATCTGGCCCAAAGCCCAGGGTATCCGTCAAACAGGTCGGCTATTCAACTCTCTCTCTCACTCCACCTGAACACTGTGCCTAACGCATTCCAGGTCTCCAACTTTTGCGAGACGACATCCGGAGTCAAGTCGTACAGCGGATACGTCACGCTTCCACCTAGTACAAACTATCCCTTCGAGCAGAATATCTTCTTTTGGCTTTTTGAATCACGGAGCCGGCCCAAGTCCGACCCCTTGACTGTCTGGATCAACGGCGGGCCCGGCTCGCCCTCGACCGATCAGGCTCTCGGTAGCAACGGCCCCTGCCGTGTGCAGCCCGACTCAAAGACGACGAAGCTCAACGCCGACTCATGGAATAATAAGGCTAATTTGCTGTACATCGACCAGCCGGTACAGACGGGATTCAGTTACAATAACGTAACGCCCGGTCGCCTGGGTTTGATCGGTGGATTCGTATACCCTGAAGGCACTTCGGTTCCTGAGTATGAGACCGTTCTTTTCAATGGCAGTTTCTCGACCCAGGACCCAAGCCAGACGCTGAACACCACGCAGAGTATTGCGCGGGTTCTGTGGGACTTCATGCAAGTCTGGCAGGGAGAGAAAAAACTGAAAGACTACGTCCGGCCTAGTATCAACCTCTGGTCACAGTCATAGTACGTGCACACCCCGTTCTCCCCCTATCTTGCGGTGGCCAAACCTGTTTCAATTTGTATCGCCAATGCACAAAACTAACCAGTTCCTAGCGGTGGTCACTACGTGCCTGCCATTGCGACCTACTTTGAAGCGCAGTCTAAACTTGCGACGGCCGGCAAGCTGCCACCCAATCCTCGTATTTGCTCTCGCGCCAAGTCTATCCGCATCGCCACCGTCGGCATTATTGCCCCTTTCATCGACATCGTCGGTCAATTTGCTGACCTAGAATTCGCCTTGAATAATACCTATGGCATTGAGATATTCGATCCAGCTACCGTGGACAACCTGGTCGAGCAGGCCGAGGCTCCTGGTGGCTGCTTCGATCTGATCGATGACTGTCGCAACATCACCAACAGGCTCGACCCCGAAGGCTGGGGGAACGCTCCCGAAGTCTACCCAGTCTGCAATAATGCCTTCTTCACGTGCTATCAACTGATCGAGAGCCGATACGAGGCCACAGGCGTGAGTTGCCATCTGTTTCCTCCCATTCACTTTCCCAAGAGCGATGCCCAAGCTGACGACGCTCCCCAGCGCGATTCCTTCGACATCACCCAGCCAGCAGCCGCCCAGTTCCCTCCCCCCTATGCTTATGGTTTCCTCAACCGCCAAAACACGCAGTCCCGCCTCGGCGTGCCCGTGAACTATACCGCCTTCTCACCGAGCATCCAATATCCCTTCTTCGCCACAGGCGACTTTCTCCTGTCGTTCGCGCCTCACGTCGAGCGCCTCCTCGCCGCCGACATACCCGTCCACCTTATCCACGGCGACCGTGACTGGCGCGCAAACTGGATCGGCGGCGAGGCAGTAGCCCTCGCGCTCGCCCACCGCAACCGCGCCCGCTTTGCCGCCGCCGGCTACGCCCCGCTCTCCGTGCCCGGTGTGCCCGCCGGCAAGGCAGGCCACGTTCGTCAGGCCGGCCGTCTCAGCTTCTCCGTTGTCACCAACGCAGGGCACGAGATCCCGTACTACCAACCCACGACCGCCTACACCATCTACCAGCGTGCCATCGAGGGCAGGGATGTCGCGACTGGTAAGAAGGCTATTGGCAACGGGGACAAGTACGCAACGAGCGGGCCAAAGGACATTCGGGGCGCGCGCACGCCGCTACCCCCCAAGGCGCCCGTGTTCTGCTACACCGCCAGCACGCCCATCGTGCGGGGCCAGTGTACAGATGCGCAGATTGCGGCGCTGGCGGACGGCACGGCCGTCGTGAAGGACTTTGTCGTCGTGCAGCCTGCGTGGAGCGGGTAGGCGACGGGGGTAGGGTTCCATACAGAAGCGTCTGGGGAGGGGGATGTACACGTACCTACGGAAGCGACAGCCTACAGCTCAAACATGACAGCTGGATGACGGACGGCCAGGGGCGACGGCCAGTTGGCGCTTCATACAGAGGCCCGTTATTGCACGTGGCCGTCGCAATAGTATAGCTAGTGAACCATCGATAGGCTTGATTAAGCATAGAAAATGGGACGCACAGATCCACACGACGAGGCGACAGACTGCACGTAGTTCGTACAAGCAGCAAACACAACAAAACTTTCCAAGGTGGTGAAGTATGCATCATGTCGGTTCATTGTTGGTCTACACCAAAAACAGGCATCTATCCTGATGATGGGCAGCGCCTTTATCTTCCTCTCGCCGCTCACGAGCCAGCGCGTCGCCAGTCCATATGTATGCAATCAAAAAAAGCCTCTGCCGCCCCCTTCGTTCGCAAGCAAGTGAAAAAGCCTCCTTCTCGCTGGGGGGGAAAAGGTCATCAACGCCAAAGCCACTCTCTATTATGGCTCCCATCATGAGTCGTTACGTATTGAAAGCCGTGGTATCAGATCGAATCAGTCGTACATGGAACACCTCGGCTGAGCGTTCATGGGCCCAGCCGGGTGGACTTTTCGGAAAATAGCAAGTATCGTCATCCGATGGGTCAAAAAGTCTCCATCGTTGACATTGGAGATTGTTGCAGACGAGCTCATAAGAAGCCGCCCTCGGTAAAGCCAACGCCGGCTCGCCAGCCACAGCGCTTCTCCCATTCCTCACGGTCCATGTCCCGCGGGCGCGGGGGGGCGCCCCTAGCGTTTAAAGTACCCCTCGGTGCTGGTGATGGATTTCGGTCGAACTCGGTGCTCTCGCGACTGCTCCCGCCGCTCACGTTCGTCTGGACTAAGAGTAAGCTGCTGGTGCTGGAGAGGCGCTTGGTAAACTCGGTGAAGCTCAGCCGCTTGGCACTCGAAGTGGACTGGCGCTTCTCCTGGTTCGGCCGTGAGCCTCCATCTTCGGAAGTCTTACCGGATGATGGCATTGGGACGTCCAGTCTGCCCTGTGGTACCAGCTGGGGTTGACTGTGTGTTCTTTGCGCGACGCTAGGGCGGAGCTTCGAGTGGGCGGTATGGGGCCTGGATGGGGCCTGCAGAGGTGTTTCGTGGTTCGTAGTGCTTCGCGTGGTGGATGACTGAGAGGCCGACTGCTGCTGCTGATGCGCCAATGATTGCGATGAGGTGCGCTGCTGACGCGGCGGGCCTGCGAGATAGTTGAGAGCCCGCTGCGCATTGGGTGGGATGAGTGTTTGGCGGTTTCCGTCAGCTTCGTGGGCGTATTCGTCCGACGACGAGTCTTCTTCGTCCTCCTCCTCAGCCGAAGAGCTGTCATCGACATCCCAGGCACTTTGTAAGGCTGCTCGCTCCGTCTCCTTTCGCTTCTCTATCTGCTGACGCTTTTCGTCTGCCTCGCGCATCAGAGCATCAAAGCGCGCCAGCGAGGTTAGTTTTTCCTCTCCGGGCACCTCCCGTTCCGAGCCGGGAATGCAGCGAAGCTGAAAAGCTCGGTCGAGGATTGTCTCACGTGCCGCGGGTGGCGAGCTAGAGTTGATAGCCGCGGGGTGTAAGGCCTGAGAGCTAACACTCCCTCGACCTCGAATTGGTGAGCTGACAGTCGAAGATCGTCCCTGTGCAGCGGTCCAACCCTCAATCAGCTCGCCTTGCTGATACTCGCCCACGGTGGCCACCGGGGATGGAATGTCAGTTGGGAGGACGGTCGTGTATTTATTGAGATCGGGCATGGCATAGCCCATGTGCGCTGGGTGTGAGGCACTCGAAGGAGACGATATATCACTTCGCTTGGAACGCAGGCTGGGAGACTCTGAACTGAAAGTTACAGGACGCTCGCGACCCGAGTGATGAGTCGAGTTTTTGTGCAGAAGAGCAGATCGAGAATTGGCATTGCCGCTTGACGGACGCGGGTAATACTCGTTCGTATGGGCGCGCTGCGGGAACGGGTTGATAAAAGACGGCGACGCCGGGCTGTCCGGACTCATGGGGGCTGTCTTCTTCATCAAGATGAAGCGAGCCCACTCATGCAGACTGATGTGGTGGTCGTCTGGAGGGGTTCTGAACCAGAGTGTGGTGGCGCTGGGCTCTTTGCTTGAGATAAGGCCTCCAGCTCTGCTAGAACGGCGTTTTCGCTCCTTATCGTTGATCGTGACAACGAGGGTGGGAAGCACCGGTCCCTGTTTGCGATGTGCGACCATTTGCACTTGGCAATCGACAATGGCGCCAATAGGGTACTGGTGGGTGGGCTCCCAGTCATCCTGCAAGTTTGGAAAACTTAGGTTATGGCCCGAGTACTCCGAAGCCGTGAGCCTTACCTTGGACTTGTACACAGATATGCAAGGATCCTCGGTGGGCAGTGGCTTAGAGGGGGTTTTCGAGGAGGAGGAGGAGGAAGAATTGGTAATGCGACTGGTCGTCATGACCTGCGCGAGGCTCGGACTGGGCTGTTGTTCGAGTTTGTCTTGCTTATGGGCGTTGCGGCGGCCTACGACGACATATCGCGGCTGTGTGGACTCGATTAGCAGAGCACTTCCAAGGGAGGGAGAGAGAAAGGCTGGGTAGGGTTCAACACACCTTCCAGACTGCACGACCGAGAATTTGACCTCTCTCGGGAGGAATCAACAGGACTCCCTCGCAGGATTCCATGTTGATCGAATTTTGAGGTCCTGGGAGGTCGTCGTCGTGGCGGTGGAAGGCGAAAAGGAGTCGTCGTGAGGAAGGGGGTTCAAGGATCACGAATTAAGATTAAATCGGCATTCTGAATGCTGGGGAATTCCGCAGACAGCGAACAAAAGCAACCGTCGGGCTGACTGGCTATGTATGAACAGACCAAGGGAGCGAAAGAGGCGAAGAGAAATTCGACAGCCTCCGGGGCTCCTTGAGTGTACGAACGAGCAGCGTGGCGGCGGGCGGCGACAAAGGCCCAGTGAGGGGGGTTTGTGTGTGGTTCGATGGGCTTGATGTCGTGTGGAGGGGGGGGGGACGAGGCGCGCTGCTGGATGCGGGCTGCAGTAGGAGATGTCGAGGTTGGCAGTGCGGAAGAGAGAGGCCGACGACGACAAGGTGGATGATGGGGATGAAGTTGCCTACCAAGGGACGACGGGGAGGAAAGGAAATGTGAGGTGCGGCCAGGTCGGCCGAGAGTTCGTCAAAGTCGCCGGGCTAATGAAGTACCTCAGGTACCTCTTCCCTCTGCTTGCAGTGTCGGATTGGTATTATTGTTCTTTTTGATTTGATTGCGAAGCCAGAAGTCACGACTAGCCCCCCGGCTGTTGCCTCTTGATGCTCCAGCACACTTGCCCGCATTTGGTTGCATTGGGGGGGTCTTGGGGGGAAAGTGCTTCCGGGGGGCCCCTGTATTCAGGCACCGCGAGATCCACTGGGCCCGATCGCTATTGCCCGCTTTTCCTGCAAGCAGAGAAGGACCGTTCACGGACGGACGCAAGTGGCGGACGAGCAGGTGAGCAGGCTGGCAGCTCCGAGACGAATTTCCATTTCGTGGAACTTGCTTATGATGACCAGGTAGGAACTTGCCTAGGTGCATTGCTGCTGCCATCTTCAGCCAGAAACCGCGGTGGATCGGGAGGCGGCGGCACAGCGCACAGCTCACAGCTCACACAGCGCACAGCGCCCAGTTCACAGCGTGCCAGGCGAATGGGAAACATTCGTCACATATCTACATCTTCACCGCTGTCTCGATGTTGCTTCTGTCAGACTTGCCTTCCCAGCCCACCTGCGTCCCCGACCGTCTCTCTTTGTCTTGTTTGAGATCACCTTGCACGCCATCTGCTTGTGGCTCCCCCTCTCTCCCCTTTCCCCCCTCCTCCACCCTGCCGTCCGCCCTCGAGATGCCCAGATGCCTTGCTCACCATAGGTGTGTATTCTGGGTAACACAGTTTCAGACCGCCACAGAGCCCACCCCCCTCCTTCCCCCATCCCTCCAACATCCAGCCATGCTTCTTCTTCTTCACCGGCTTCAATGACGCAGATTTCGCTGGCTGCCGTTGCCATCCTCGCCGCCCATTGTCTCTGCTGGAGCGCCTCCATGCCATGTGCCTTGCGCCCATCGCCTCACGATCAGCTGCGGCCATCGAACACTGGCCGGGTCTAACCGCAGAAGCTCCGAATGCTCGCATCGTGTACCCACGGCACACGCACCAGAGCCTCGCCAGCCGTCGACTGACCATCAGGGACCAATCGACCCCTGTCCTGCGACCGCACCACAAGAGCATGACCAAAGGCACAACCACTTTCGACGACAATTGCCTCGGCGGCATGACTCTCGCTCCGTGGACGAACTCAAGGGGTAATTCAGGCCTGCTGCTGCATCTCAGTGGGTAGCCAGACGCATGGTGACCACACCATCTGCAGGACCAATATCTCTCCTGAGCTAGACCCCTCCTCCTGGCTGCACCTGGCTCCTGAACCCCTGGCCCAGTGTACCCTTCGGACAAAATGGCAGTGGTCATGTGCAGACACGCAGCCGTGCCGTGGGCGAGCCTACCGATGGAAGGGTGCTGGGATTGATTACTTACACCAGTCCGGCAGTCGGTTAATCATTGTGGCTGGCTTGCGCCTTTCCAACTTCCCCTTTCGTCGGCCAAAGTCAGGTGCATTTCCAACAATCACAAGCGACTGTGGCGCACCATGACTCCTGTAATGTCGTGTCGACCATCTTCGGCCTTAAAATGCCCCGAGGGATCATGCCCGTTCTTTGATCGACAATCCGTTGTCTCTAGCACGGGGCCTAGGAGGGAAAACGAGAAGGACGGCACAAATCTTCGGGGTTTGGCGCTGGCCGGGGCCAAGGCGTTGCGGGTGGAAACATCGCCAATCTCACAGACAAATGTCAGGATCAGGGATAACCACGGGTGGCCTTTCTCTGCCAAACCGCCGGCGTCCCAACTCCTATGCGACGCTGCCCTGTTCGTTACTGTCAGCATTCCTCTGCTGGTTCGCACTACGGTGCGTAGCCGAGCGACATGCAGTGCAAGCCACGCATGCCACGCCGACCACGAACTCGTACCTGCATGGAAAACTCGGTAGCGTGGATGGCTCTTTGCTCTGTTCCTGTTCGCTGCCACAGCAATCGCTGCTGATGCAAGTCACTGCACCTAAGGCTGGCCCATTTGTACACCTCCGCCCGATCTTGAGTCCAGCGTTCTCAGCGTCTGTGAGTCCAGCCCCTCTCACCACCCAGTGTCGCGATCCCACCTCGGATTGCTCGGCGCCACGAAACGGTGATCGTCGACGGCGTCTTGTGCCGTCTCTGGTATAGGCATGGCAAGCTTTGCTTGACCAGGACCAGATTCATGGTCATGGCCAGGACGTGTGGCAGCTCCCGTACCGCATCTTACGTGCCCGGGATCTCGCTGTTTAGCTCCCTTCTACAACTGTCCCCCGTCAAGGATTCCTTCCCCGCACGGAATCGTCACGTCCCGTTGCGTCCTTTCTTTTGACTGGCACCCGAGCGTGACCACCATCTTGCATGTGGCGTTGTCAACGCAACCAACCTGCACAACTCAGCCGCCCGTCACGATGCATGACCAGCAAACAAAACAACTTATTGGGTTAGCCAATGCTCTAGGCTCATGGCGCCACCCTCGCCGTGCTGCACCACCGTACTCCCTAAGCTCTCTAGGACTTGGATCAAACGATCCGGGGTTCGATTCCTTCCTGTGCTCTGAGGTCATGGCCCCAATCTACAGGCTCCCCTCCGCTCTCTATCACCATTCAAGACAAACGGCGGTCGGAGGACAATTGCTGTCCCGCGCAGCTGGATGACACAGGTGTCGGTCGTCCCGGGAAATCTTCCTAGCCCCTGCATAAGCGGCCACGCGACGCTCAGTCAGCAAGCGGCCGTCGCCGCCCTGTCCGGGGATAAAGCTCAGTGCAGCATAGACCGTCACCTCCAGCCAGGCCCAGAGATGCGCCAGCGTCAATAGCGCCGTCTGTGTTGAAAACGATGACGGACACTAAACGGACGCTGTCCCTTGTCACCGCTTTGATGGTGTGGGGGTTTGCGCTCTACTTGACTCGTTGGTCTCTGGCTCGTCGGAGTAACCGTTCGAGACCACCGCTCACACAGGTTTGCATTGTGGTCCTCTGGTCAAAAAGCTGTTAGTCCTGGTTCTGCCCTGTGCTGGCGTGATGACATAGCTGATTGATCTCGGTACCTTTCCGCTCCCTCCCTCAAACTCTGCGCTCAGACGGTATCTTAAGCTTTTGACGCGAGTCGGACTGACATTGCGAAGCTCAACTGGACGACTCGACCACGATCCGCGGAATCGGGTCCACGGCATGCAAATACGCCTTTGCCTTCGAAGCATCATCCGGAGACTCCGATCTGTTTTCGTCATGCCGCGGTTGGGGCACGACCTCATCGTCCGGATTCCCTTCCGAAACGGATATCGGCTCCGGCTCTTCTTCAAAGCGCCCGACGTTCGTCGGCGTTGATGCAGGATTTTCAATACGCCATTCCCGAATATTTGGGACGCCTCTGATTCGTTCGTGGAAGCGAGCCGGCAAAATACTTTCGCGATCCTCTTGGTCCGCTGGCGTGAACATCCGGGCAAGAAACCGCGCCGTAACGATGCAGAAGGCGAGACCCGCCCATGATTGCCATGGAATCGCACCCATGTCGATGTATGGTAGTGATATGGCTGGCGCTATCAGTGTGCTCTCCTTTCATCTGGCTCGCTTTGAGGGGCTGTCAGCTGGCGTGAGGCTGAAGACGAACTTATTTGTTATGCTGGAAGGGGCCGATGCAGCAACCCCCCCCCCCCTTAGTGAATGGCACTACTACTGGTTTCCAGTCAGATGGGGGAAAACCGGTGCTTTCCCGGCCACAGAAGGTAGGTTGCCAGTGAATGTGCCGATATGTGGTTTGGGCCTTTCGGATCCGAACCTGGTCATATGGGCCTCGCGCAGTGCTTGTAAGTCAGGCTTACACTACCCATTTCTGAGCGCTGCGAACGAATTCAATGGCGCTCAAGAAATATGGAAGACGGTTCACCTGTAGGGAGCCCGTGTAATAGTTACCAATCCATGGCACTCACCCGAACGACTCGACTAGCTAGATAGTAGTACTCTAGATGAGGGACACAGCAGCCGTTCTCTTCGAACAACATCAGAAAGATCAAAAGAGCAGGTCGTTTCCAAGGAACCCAATCTAAAAGTTATCGAGGCTATTCAATGGTCCATAGCCCAATGGAGTTGCAAACAGCACACAAGCGACGAACGACTACCAACCCTCCCCATCGTTTCCTCGCTACAATGTACCAATCTTCGATGCCAGAAATCCGACGCCCTCGCCAGCACGGCGTGTATAGTCCAGGTGCGGGGCCAGCACTACCAGCTGCCCATCGCAAATGACATCTCCCGGATTGCACAGAAACGACACTCTGTCAGGCGGAAAGTTGAATATACGACTGCCGTCCTGCATCTTCTGGGTGTCGCCAACCATGAGGACACCAACTATCTGGTTCTTGGCCACGGGCGGGAGGCTTTCTATTGACCTGTGCGCGACCGCTGCGCCTTGGCTTTGAACATGTTGGCCGAGAGCGAGCGGAACTAGGGACAAGGAGGAGGGCGCACCTGTAACCGCCGACGACGACCTTGGAGGCTGGACAATTCATCGCCGCACCGAGCAGGACACTGCTCATGGCTGCTATGCTGGGCCCGTCCGTGCCGCCGGGTAGGAAATTGGGCGCAGGAATGGCGGCGTAGTTGATGCCTTCTGTCGCTACGCGGGAGTCGCCGTATGTGGACTTGAGGCCACTTGACAGGGGCGGCCCAACCAGTGTGCCCTATCTCTAGTCAGTGGGAGAACTCTATGGTGGCGAAGGGTGACCGAGGATGAAGAAGGTCTGCACCATGTTGCCCTGCTCTGACGTGCCCCGGGCGAAGACGAAAATGACATCTCGGCAGCCGCCCAGCGTGAGTTCGTTGCTGACGATGGAGGCCGCGATAGCTGGATCGCTGACGTTGACCTGACTGAGCGTCTCCAGTCTTGCGAGGCTTTCGGCGTCGAATTCGCCCGTCTCGGCGGCGCGAGGGGTGAGAGATGGAGACACGGCGAGTGCGAGTGTCGCTGACGCCAGGAGAACAACGATTCGCATGGTCGAACAGGCACCGCGAGGCGTGCAGACCTACAAGAATCGCGATGTCGAGATTTGTGCTCGGAGATTTCTTTGGCAAAAAGTGGTGAGACCCCGAGTTCTGATTCGGGTGAGGGTATTGTCGTGGTCCCCGTCGTTTCGGATCGGTGCGATGCACTGACATCTTTGACCATGCGCCTTGACGTCCGAAACATCTCCAGCAAGTCGCACCAGCCATATCGGGCGAACTGTTCGAATGAACTGTTCGAGAGCAGAAGCACCTGATCAGAAGTCTGGTGGGAAAGACGGCGAGATGTTTGTATGGGCGGGGTTGAATGTCATCTTCCGTCGGGTGATGTTGGGGGTGGTGATGCCTGCCCCTTCGAAGGTCAAATTACGAAAAGGCCGGGATCCTATGACCGAGTTGATGAGATTAGAGAGATGAAATTGTTGAGTGAATATTTCTTTCAAGAGCCCATTTTTGTTTTCTCAAAATGTGGTTGTTGTTTATGGGAACGAGTATGAATGCATCTCGGCTTGCTCCCGAACAAGTCAGGAGAAGAGCAGCAGATTCAAAGATGCAATTAGAGACGTTTCTTGACATGGTTCCCACCAAGATAAAACGTCGATTTGGGTTGACTTTGGTATCGACGGAATATGGACTCATAAGGCACGTCGCTGTCGTTTCTTTTCACGGCTGCCACTTGTGTGACACTTTGCCTACCAACGAAGCCAGGCATCGCCGGAGAGTTGACATGCTGCGGCACAGCGTCATTTGGGAAGGTAGAAAATAAGAAACATGGGATGGTAAAGAAACATAGGGCCATGCTGTGTAGGCCATTGACATATCAATCAGAGTGATGCACTGCAGGAAGGCACCGGTGAAGGACATTGTCAAATGATGCAGCAAGGTGTCGTGGACCATCTGTCCTATACGCATTACCCCAGATCGTTTGGCAAGGGATATTTATCGTATACTCGATGTCGATGCTAGCACATTTTGTTGGACCAAAAGCCCAATGCGCAGCTGAGTTTTCTGTCTGCTGGATTTCCCCGACAGCCAAGGCGTTGATACAACATTGAGCAGTCCCATACGCAGAGTCGGTGGACTTCCGTGATGAACACGATCGCGATGTGACACAGTCACAATGAGGTGTCAATTCCGAGCCTGTCCGAGATGACCTGAGGCTTGAACGTCAAGATAGAGTCATCGGCGTGGAGAGGCAGGCGATGGAACAGGATGATGCCAGGATCGTGAGTTCCCGGCCTTGGCACGTCCGAATGACTGAGGCGCCTTCAATCGCAGGAAACTTCTTCGAAGAATTCTTCGAAGGAAGGCCAAGACATAGTCACCGGCGAAGTTGAGGTACTCGTTCCCTGACTCTCGTGTCAATTCGGAGTCATCGACAGCTGTCATTCCCATTGCCATCGGACCCATCGCATGCAACCTCAATCACAAGCCGAGCAGCACGCGCACGAACAGCACGTGACATCCCGAGCTTGCGGATTCGAACCCCGGGACCCCATTGCTAGACGTGACGCCATTCGACAGCTCTCCGCAGGTCCACCCACTGGTAACCCTGGGGCCCAGGGCGCAGGACCCGCGCGCGGTGTGTGAGGTGCACAGTCGCTGGGGGGCCCGCTGTATTTTTCTCAAAAGCGTGCCAATCACCTTCCGCAATCGGGCGCATAGAGCTGTCTCCCCAGCCGGTATGACTACCAAGATCGCTACCTCAGGTTCCTACCTAGGTACCTATACATGGTACAGGTGCCGACTGCCCCAGCAGCTAGCAAGCCTCGCCAGCAAAACAGTCAGTCGAGACCCGGACCACTACCGTACTTTCCCCTTCGAGTCAGACCACATCTCGAAAGTCGTCCCCGACTTTTAATATCTTCTCCCTCTCCAACCTCTCTCTGCCAGTCTTCCCTTCCCCCCTTCAAGCGCTCTTTGCTCGTTTGATCCTCCACCATCACAATGCTTTCTTCTCTGCGAATCGCCACCAGGCAAGCCGGCCTGCGCCGCGCATCGGCCCTCCCGCTCAATGTCGCCCGCGCCGGCTCGACCTGGGCCAACGTTGCCCAGGGCCCTCCTGTAAGTACACTTGAAGCTTGTCTCTCGGAGGTGTCATGATGCTAACTGTTCGTCAGGATGTAAGTCAATAATGCCAATGCCTTCCGAGATTGGACTTCCAGCTGATCCGAGCCTCCCTCCGAAAGGCCATTCTCGGTACGTCATTGATGCCCTCGGTCTGCATGCATCGCAGCTAACGTTCTTGCCCAGGTATCACCGAAGCCTTCAAGGCCGACACGTTCGACAAGAAGATCAACCTCGGTATGTCTTCTTTGCCGTTCTCCTGTCATCTCCGATCGTCAGGTCGTGCTGACCTAAACCCACACCAGGTGTCGGTGCCTACCGTGACGACAAGGGCAAGCCGTACGTCCTCCCCTCGGTGCGCACTGCCGAGCAGAAGGTCGTCGACGCCAAGCTGAACAAGGAGTACGCCGGCATCACCGGTGTGCCTGACTTCACCAAGGCCGCCGCCGAGCTCGCCTACGGTGCCGACTCGTCCGCCCTGTCGCGTCTCGCCATCACTCAGTCCATCTCCGGTACGGGCGCCCTGCGCATCGGCGCCGAATTCCTCAAGCGCTTCTTCCCCGGCGAGAAGAAGATCTACATCCCCACGCCCTCGTGGGCCAACCACAAGGCCGTCTTCTCCGACGCCGGCCTCCAGGTTGAGCAGTACCGCTATTACAACCGCGACACCATCGGCCTCGATTTTGAGGGCATGATCGCCGACATCAAGGCCGCGCCCAAGGGCTCCGTCTTCCTCTTCCACGCGTGCGCCCACAACCCCACCGGCGTTGACCCCACGCAGGAGCAGTGGAAGGAAATCTCGGCTGTTGTCAAGGCCAGCGGCCACTTCTCCTTCTTCGACATGGCCTACCAGGGTTTCGCCTCGGGCTCCACCGACAAGGACGCCTTTGCCCTGCGCCACTTTGTCGCCGAGGGCCACGACCTCTGCCTTGCCCAGTCCTTCGCCAAGAACATGGGTCTCTACGGTGAGCGTGTCGGCGCCTTCAGCATCGTCGCCAACGACGCTGCCGAGGCCAAGCGCGTCGACAGCCAGATCAAGATTGTCGTGCGCCCCATGTACTCGAACCCTCCCATCCACGGTGCCCGTGTCGCCGCCGAGATCCTCACCAACCCTGCCCTCTACAAGCAGTGGCTCGGCGAGGTCAAGGAGATGGCCGACCGCATCATCACCATGCGCGCCCTGCTCAAGGAGAACCTCGAGAAGCTCGGCAGCAAGCATGACTGGAGCCACATCACCAGCCAGATTGGCATGTTCGCCTACACGGGCCTGACGCCCGAGCAGATGGACTCCCTCGCCAAGGAGCACAGCGTCTACGCCACCAAGGACGGCCGTATCTCCGTCGCCGGCATCACCAGCGACAACGTCGGCCGCCTCGCCGAGGCCATCTTCAAGGTCAAGGGTTAAGTGGGCTATGGGGGCGCACGGGTGTAAAATCGGGAGCGGCCATGGTGCCTGGATATGGGCCAGGGGGGCGGTGGGCGGCAGACTAGATGACAAGCGAGCGATGACGCCCGCGGCAGTAGACTGGCAGCGCTGATTCTGTATAACACCATGATTCTCTTGACGACATTGCATTCTCGTGGTGGCTCGATATGCTTTGTGATTTCATGCTTCGTAATTCGTGTTCCGTCATGACATCAAGACCCAAGACGGCCCTTCACCTCCCCAGCCTCTTGAGATCCTTCTTCACCTCGTCAATCTCCCTCTCCATGGCCCTGTACACCCTCGCCATCTCCCTCATCCGTCCCTCCTGCGCCTGCGCCTGCGCCTGTCCCCTCTGCGCACCCACGCCATACGCCTCGAGCTCCATCTCGAGCCGGCGAATGCTCTCCTCGACCCTGACCCTCGCATCCCGCAGATGGACGCCGTAGTTGGCCAGCGCAGACACCGTCTCGGGCGTGTACACATGGTCCTCGACAGCCTTGGCGACCATGCGCGCCTCGACCTCGGCCCTGCGCGCCGCGAGCCCGACCTCGGCAGCCCGCAGCTCGAGGCTCCGCGCCACGACGCCGTGCTTGCCTTCGAGGGCGCGTACCAGCAGCCCGACGGCGCGGGCCTCGTCGGCGAGCAGCGCGGCCACGTCCTCGGCCAGGCGCAGGCGGTCGGCGGCGGTCTGGACGGCGGCGCGGCGGACCTCGGCGCGCAGGGCGACGGCGGCGGGCGCGAGCTTGGGGACGCCGCGGTGGAGGAAGCTCGGGTTCGTGTCGGGGTGGGCGACGCGCACGAGGGACGTCGCGGCGGCGTGCAGGGCTGTGCCGACGAGGGGACCCAGCGCGGGCAGGAGGGTCGGGAGGTCGGAGAGGGGCGGGTGGGCGAGGAGGGTGTCTGCTTCGGCGGGCGTCAGGGGCGGCGCCGACGGGTCGAGGAGCGCGGGCAGCAGGACGAGGAGGTCGAGGAGTGGCGGCGGTAGGGAGGACGGCTGGGCGGCGGGGCGGGACTTGCCGATTGTGCCTTTTGGTGCTGGGGCTGGGGGTGGTGTTGCTGTTGCGAGGGCGTGGGTTAGGAGGTGGTGCTTTGCGTGGGTTTTGCGGTGGGCACGGAGGTCCTTGGGACGTGTCAGATTATCCCCCCTCGGCCTGAAGAGGGTACATACGTTATGAACGGATTCGCGCTCCTTGCGGAGGGCATCGTTCTTGGTCGAACCGTCTGGGTTGAGGATGACGGTTGTGAGGGTGTGGTGGAGGGATGCAAAGTCGGGATTGTTGTCGAGGATCGACTGTTCGATGGGCGGCAGCATTGTGCTCGGCCTGCATGGAGATTCTCTGTCTCTCTCCCTCTTTCTCGCTCAAATGGTTGGTTCGTACAAGCACATGAAATTATTAGGTTGTCATGGTCAAGATATCATGCATCTGCCCACCGCGTTCCATACCTCCTACAGCGCAGCACCCCCAATTGAACCCCCCCTTGGACCCCTCACCCCTCACCCCTCGCGAACCCGACACGATGTCACCTGATTGGCAGCACACGAGCCTGACCCCCCCCCCTACCTGTCTTGGCCCGTGGCGGATTTTCCCTGAAGCCGATCCCCGACTCGAATCGACTATGCACGGAAAAAAGTACGACTCCCCAAGCGAACATCACCTCACTTGAAGCTCGACGATCCGGCCATCACGAGGTCACGGGATCTTCAATTGGCACTCGAAACAGATCCAAAGACCAATGTCACGACGATAGCACGGCACCTCGAACTCGTACACACGCACACACACATCACCCTCCCTCACAATGTCGACGCTCGCCGCCCAGCGCGGCAGCGCCCCCCTACGCGGCCTCGCCTCGTCTCTCAGCTCCCTGTCCCTCCAAACACCCAGCGGCCGTGCCTTCTCGACGACGCCGGCGGCGCTGACAAAAACCATCGCCCTCCACCGCATCCCCGCCTTCCCCATCCCCGACTACCCCCTGGGGCCGCGCCTCATCTACAAGCAGTCCAACGGCGGGCTCTCCGCGACGACCCGCATCCGCCGCGGCAACAACATCTCGTCCGACCACAAGGTCAAGACGCCGCGGGCCTGGCGGCCCAACATCCACCGCAAGCGCCTCTGGTCGGCGGCCCTCGGCGTCTGGGTGCGGGCCCGGCTCTCGCTGCGCGTGCTGCGCACCATCCGCAAGGAGGGCGGCCTCGACGCCTACGTGCTCAAGTCCAAGGCCGCGCGCGTCCGCGACCTGGGCCCCGGCGGCTGGAAGCTGCGCTGGCTCGTCATGCGGACGGCCGCCGTGCGGGCGCGCTTCGCCGACGAGCGCGCCCGCCTCGGCGTCGTGCGGCCCGCCGGCGTCGAGGACGAGGACAACACGGACCTCGTCCACGTGCTCGTCGACGGCGCCACGCCCGGCCCCCTGAGCGCCGTCAGCAGGGCCATCATCGCGCGCCGCGCCGAGGCCGTCGCCGCCGACAGGATGGCCTGGGACGTGGCCGCGCTGCAGGCCCAGGGCCAGGAGTTTGCCCTCGGCGAGGAGGCCGAGCTGGCGGGTGACGAGGACGTCAGGGGCGCGGGCGAGCAGGTCGGCGGCACCGTGGAGGAGCTCGACGCTGCGATCGAGGCGATGGAGAAGGACGAGGCCAAGAGGTCATGAGTTGGAAGCGGGCCGATGCGGCGACCCTGTGTCTATTGTATCATATGTGTACTTTTCCGTGTTTCTCCCCCTGCCCGGACAGATGGCCGGCACAAGACGTATCCCTGCATACTTTCCCTTGGATGAACGGGCCTCGAGCCTTGGTGACTCGACAAAGGGGTGACCGTGATGGTGGGATGCAGCCATCGAGGCCAGACATGCGAGCGTTCATACAGGATACGACTCAGTTGGCTCATCTCACTCACACGGCATACACCACTCGACGGCATACCCGACAGCATTCACAACGCAGCGTCTGGAAAATGTGTAGAATCAAAATCTTGACATGTCTTTGGAAAAATCAAGGCTACCTTTTGTATCCCATCAAAACGCCGTCCTGCCTCTCCTCTAAAATCGCAAGTCCCAGCCAATCTTAGGTCCCAACGTCGGCAGCTCGTCGGCCACGCTCTGCACATCCTTGTCACCACGTCCACTGAGGCAGATGACGACGTCCTCGTCCTTCTTCATCGTCTTGGCGAGCTCGAGCGCACCATAGATGCCGTGCGCCGACTCGAGCGCGGGAATGATACCCTCGAGCTGGCTCATGAGGCGGAAGCCGATAAAGGCCTCCGCATCGGTGGCGACAACGTACTGGGCGCGGTTGCTGTCTTTCCAGGAGCTCAGTTCGGGGCCGACACCCGGGTAGTCGAGACCGGCCGAGACGGAGTGCGTCTCGGAGATCTGACCGTGCTTGTCCTGCAGGACGTACGTCTTGACGCCGTGCAGCACACCCTTCGTGCCGCCCGAGAGCGTGGCACTGTGGCGCGCCGTCTCGACGCCGTCGCCGCCAGCCTCCACACCGACAAGCCGGACGCTGGGGTCGTTGGAGAAGGGGTAGAACATGCCGACGGCGTTGCTCCCGCCGCCGACGCAGGCGACGACGGCGTCCGGCAGCTTGCCGCGCTTCTCCTGCATCTGGCGCTTCGTCTCCTCGCCAATGACGGACTGGAAAGTGCGCACAATAGTCGGGAACGGGTGGGGGCCGATGGCGGAGCCGATGATGTAGTGAGTCGTCTCAAGGTTGACGACCCAGGCACGCAGAGCCTCGTTGACGGCGTCGCGGAGCGTGCGGCTGCCGGCCTCGACGGCCACAACCTTGGCGCCGAGGAGCTTCATGCGGAACACGTTGAGGGCCTGGCGGCGCACGTCCTCGGCGCCCATGTAGACGGTGCACTCCATGCCGAACTTGGCGCAGACAGTCGCCGTCGCGACACCGTGCTGGCCGGCGCCTGTTTCGGCAATAATCTTGGTCTTTCCGAGGCGCTTCGCCAGCAGGAGCTGACCCAGCGCATTGTTGATCTTGTGGGAGCCCGTGTGGTTGAGATCCTCACGCTTCAACCAAATGTTGGCACCTCCAGCGTGCTCTGTCAAGCGCTCTGCGAGGTGCAGGTGGCCAGGTCGGCCCATGTAGTCGTAGTAGGACCTGTACTCCTCCCAGAACTTGGGGTCGTTGTTGATCTTGTTGAAGCCCTCCTCGAGCTCGGACAGGCAGTCCATCAGACTCTCGGGGACGTACTGTCCGCCGAATTCGCCGAAGCGCTCGGGAATCTTGCCGTGCATGGCGGCGAGCTGCGCGACAAGGTCGCTGTCCTGCTCGGCCGTGATGGTGGCCGAGACGGTAGGAACGGCCTCGGGGGCCTTGGCATCGGCAATGGCCTCAACGATGCCGACTTCGCGCGTCGTTTCGTTCGCGGCCTCGGGCCTGCGGCCGCCGAGATAGGCACAGTACTCCTCGAGGTCCTTGAGGCGGTTCTCAGGGGTGGCCTTCTGCAGGGTCGTGATGATCTGGCTGCCGACGACGACACCATCGGAGAGGGTAGCAAGGCTCTGGAAGTGTTCGCGGGTGCTGACGCCAAAGCCGACAGCGGCGGGCTTGTCGCCGCTGTACTTCTTCACGCGGGAGATGAGTTCGGGGAGGTTGGCGTTCAGGGAGCCGAGGGCACCGGTAACGCCTTGGCGGGAAACGACGTAGATGAAAGAGTCGGCGAGCTGGCAGAGAATCTTCATGCGGGCATCAGATGTGGCGGGCGCGATGAGGGGAACGTAGGAGAGTCTGCTGGGTGTCAGTACAACGGCCAAAGAATTCGAATCTCCCGAGGACAGGTATATCCATGACGTACTGTCCCTTGTTGCAAAGCTTGCGGAACGAGACGGCCTCCTCGGGCGGCAGATCGACAACGATGAAGCCGTTGACGCCGCTGTCAGCGCAGTCGTTGAGGAGCCTCTCCTCGCCGTAGCTCAAGAGAGGGTTGTAGTATCCCATCAGCAGAACTGGCGCCTTGAGGCCCTTACTCCTCGCGTCCTTGACCATCTTCAGTGTGGACTCGATGGTGACGCCATTTTGCAGAGCAATTGTGTTGGAGGTCTGAATGGTCGGGCCGTCGGCGATAGGGTCTGTGAAGGGCGCGCCGAGCTCGAGGATATCTGGCCATGTCAGGAAAAAGTCGTATGGAGGGCTGATCCATCGTCAAGACTCACCAGCTCCACCCTTCTCCATGGCGAGGAGAATATCAGGCGTCTCCTCGGCCGTAGGAAAGCCGGCGGTGACATATGTCACGAGGGCTGACTGTCATCGCTTGTCAGTTACGTTTTCCCGTCGACTAGAGCTGGTGGATTTTTCGAGGCCATGCCATCGTGCGTGGTGTGTTCGGTGGCGGGGTGAAGGAAAAAGTGCCCCGCGATTGGGAGGACGAGGGGCAAATGGAGGTGGGACTCGACTCACCCTGTTCTCGGCCTTGCAGCGCTGAAAAGTCTTGCGAATGTGATCCATGGTGCTGCCGAATGTGCAATGATCCCAATTGATGTGCAGTAGGTTGAATCTTGCTGCTAATAATCTCAATGCGGGGAGGGGTCAAGTTGTTCTTAAGAAGTGGTGATGTAGAGGCGGTGGGGGAGGTCACAGTCATAGTCACTTTCGCAGAGATCACTACTCGGCCCAGGTACGTAGCGACGCTGGTGGTGGGTACTGAAGCTCCGGGCGAGACTAGTCCTACGTCGGAGTCGCTGCAGCGGCCAAGCCGCCGAGCGCTGCACTCCAGCTTCGATGCCTTGAGCATGGGAAAGGCCTCTCTCTCTCAGTGCCTCCTTCCAGTGAGTGCTCGAGGCCTGGGGCGGGGGCATAGGAAGGGACCACCTGGAGAAAGTGGAGCCCTCGTCGCCACCGACCGATGCCGGAACGGGTGGCTCCTTGCGCCTGCCCCCAGCACTGGGCAGCGCCGCGCTTGGCGATCGCCAGCGGAGGTGCCCGAAAAGGGACGCACATGTCGTCCTCCGCCACTGATACAGACCCTGACTCACCACCAAAGCCTCCGACTCCGACACCGCTGTCGATCCTGGGGCCGTCGTGCCATCAACTCCGACGAACAGTGTAGGCCCAATTGGATACACGCAAAACATCACAATTCTCAAGGCTCATGGTTTGCAGTGTGGTTTATTGATCTTCCCAGCTACGACAAGTCAATCTGGCGCGTGACTGGACTCACTACTACAGTACCAAAGTAATGCAGTTTGCAATCTGTGTGTACCATGTGCCGTGTGGCCAAAGGGCAAACAAGAGCATACTCCGAGATGCGCAAAGAAAGAGAATGGTATCTTCAACCCCTCCACAAAAAAAAAATGGGAGGCAAAGCATCAAGGTCAGGTACTTGGAGACCATGTCCTCTATGCAAAAAAAAAATGATTTCCGTATAACCCGCCCAAAATGTCAATCAGATACCCTCGACGCGCCTCGCTTGGACCTGTATGCAAAAATCGTCTTATCTGCATTGAAAAGGAGAGTCTCTCTCGGCCTTGGGTCCAGCCGTTAGCCGGAGGAATGAGTTCCAGGTCGTTCAATCGTCCATTCTTTTTTTTTTTTGTGTGTTTCGTGTTTTGGGTAGATTTTCCCTTCTGTTCTTCTTGTTTTTCTTCAAACGGCTCAGAACTTGTTGCCTGACCCTTCAAACTGCCCATAAGAGCTTATCCTCTTGGGCGAGGTCATCGCCTGTGCCCTGCCGCCCGCCACCTTGGAGACATACTTCTCGTTCTCGGCCTCGCGCGCGTAGTAATTTTCATCGTCCGTTCGGCCCACCGCTGAGGCTTCGCTGCCAAAGTGGGGGAACCGCTCGTCCGAGTGGTGCGTCGCCTCACGGGGCGTCAGCGGCGGCCTGGCGTCGCCTGTGTAGCGCATGCCGCCCTCGCCGCGTCCCTTGTCTGGCATGGCCATGCCGACGAGCGCGCGAATCACACCGATGAGGACAATGATGACATAAACGAGGAGGATGCCGGTGGAGATGAGTGCTTCGGTGACGATGTGATTGCGGATCTTGTCCACGACGTACTGGACGGCGCCTGTCACCTCGTCGGTCGTGACAGAAGACGGCGTGGCCAGGAAGGTCGTGAGATCAGAGTCATCGCCGATCGACTCCTGCGCACCCATGCTGAAAGTGTCGTTGGCAAACTGGGGAAGGCTGACCTTGGCGTGGTCGTGCACCCAGGTGAGACCCTTCTGAACGGCCTCGACCTTAAGGCCGATCGTGCAGAAGATGACGTCCTTGATGGGCTTGATGAGGATTGTGCCGTTGAAAACTGTCTCGAGGCCAGTTGCCATGCCATCGGTGAACGTGTTGAGCGTGTCGTTGACCGAGCCCGTGGCCTCCCTCACCCAGCCGAGAAGATCGTTGTTGATCTCATCCTGGGTCGAGAGCACCACACCGTTGGCGCCATCAGCCCACTCCTTGGATACCGCAGCCAGGCTGCCGACAACGTCCTCTGCGAATTCGCCCACTTGGTTGGCCAGCTCCGGCACGGTGCGTTCGATGGCCTTGAGCAGGACAAACTGGCACAAGCAGGCAAAGAAGCCGGCGAGCGCGAGAGAAAGCACGAAGAGTGCGGGGAGAGACGTCGCGTACGCAAAGGCCCAGCGCGCGAGAATCTGACGCTTGCCCGAGAAGCGGGAGGCGAGTTTGATGCCCCATGAAGCAGTGGTCGGGCGCGAGGCGATGTAAATGACATCCATCGAGTCGTACGTGTGGTCGCCGACAATCTTGGCGTGCTGCTGCTGGCGGCGCCATCGCTTGATCTCAAACCAGGCCATTGGCACGATGCACAAGACGGCAAGCACCGAGATGACAACGATGAAAATGGTGCGCGCTGTGCGTACGAGGTGGCGGAGCTTGTCAAAAAACTCGGAGATGGTGTTGTTCTCCGAGCAAAAGTTCAGCGCCTGCTTCGAGGCGACGGGGAAAACGGAACGGTCGAACCGATAATCCTTGTAGGCATCGTCGATGGTCTCCTTCAGCAAGTTGAAGGGGATGGCGATCGCCTCAGCTGTCATGTTCTGGATTTCCCTGAAGGTGGGTAGATCGTCCTTCAGTTCGTCGAGGTCACTGACGAGACCATCCGTGTTGATATTAATATCCTTGAGGTCGCCGATAGGGCCAGACAGGTCAAGGTCCGGGAAGTCGGGGAAGACGCCGCCGATGAACGAATCTTCGATGCTGCTCTTGACATTGTTGATGCCGTCTTCGATATTCTTGGCGCGGGACTCGAGGGTATCGGTAATCTTGCTGATAGCGCTGTTCATGAGGTCTGTCACCTTTTCGGTGACGTCGGAAGCAACATCGAGACCGCCGTGAACGAACGCCGCGATCAGGCAGACGTACATGGAGGTGACCATGTTGATGACGAAGAGGATGAGACCCTGGATGCCGGTGAGGAGAAGGCCAAGCACAGCGACAAGCCCATCGAGGGTCTTCTCGATGCCCTGTGCGGACAGCTCGTTGACGCCGACAGAAAGGTAATGAGGCATCGACGCCATGGCGCTGCCGACATCTTCAACCTTTGTGCAAGCCGAGAGGGCCTTACGGTTGGCTTCATCCACATCCTCGTCGACGCCGGCGACCATGAGGAGGACTCGGACGAGCACAAGAAGAAGAAGGATTGTCCAGCGGTTGATCCATATTTGCGAAAGTCTGGAACGGAGGCTGAGGTAGGGGGTGAAGGTGGGCGCTGTGTCGGCGCGAGCCATCTGTGTCTTTCTAAGCTCAGACAGCTCGACCGAGTCGGAGCGGAGGGAGTCAGGGACGGCTGGGTAGCCGGCCTCCTCCTCCTTGTGTTTTCGTGTGAATAGCATGATTGTTTCTAAAAATGTGTAAGAATCTGGTATGTATGTACTTTGACTTTTCGTTTCAAATTGCGCTGTCGCTGTGTAGACGATGATCGATGGGCGCAAAAGAAGTGTAATGCGAAATGTCGATTAGATGAAGCAGAAGGGGAAGTAAAGAATTAACTGCGAGTGAAGGAAATCACACAAAGGAAATTCGTCAAGACAGAAATTGTTGAACAAGGTCGCTGATCAATACATCGTGGGCAGTTGGGCGTGGGTTGAATAGGTTGACAATAGGGGGTTATGTGGTAACAATGGGAATCGAGGGTCTAGAGTGGGCGGTGGGTGCGGTGCAGCAATAAGGCAACGCATACAGCATCGGAGTGGTTCAAGGTTGCAACAGAGAAAGAAATCTGCTCACCTGATTGTAATGCACAACAGCTGAAACCAATGACGGCGCTTCTTTACGAACTCTTGGTCGATTTTACAAACGACCCAGGTTGCTTGGGATCGTTTTGTCAGAATCGGCCAGATGGGCTCGGGTTGACTTGCACTCGTTTAAGCGCTTTCACGATGCCTCTCAGCCAACCAAACCCGTCGGTCCAGGGTACAGGTGAGCGGCTCCCCAAACGTCGATGGGGCCCCAAGGGGAGAATGGTCGCGGCCCGGTGGCTCTGATGGTTCGAGATTGAGCGCTTCAGAGAAAATTGTAGGGCTGTGCCGGCGGGTAGAGGGTGCTTGGTAAAGAAGGGGTGTCGTTGTGGTTTTTGGTTGTGGCCTGGAGTCCTGGCCACTCTCTTCTCCTATGAGCTGCACTGATTGTACAACCAACTTGCACGATGACTTTTCTGATATGTTCTGTAGGCGCCCTGTGTGGCTTGGCTTGAAGGGGGACGGCGTCGAGATATACAAATATGTATCTGGATGAGTCAAAGGCAAGGGGACACCACGGAGTGAGAAGTTGATGGTGCCCATCTTTCCAAAAACGCTTTCTGAGAGGCGAGGCCTCTGGGATGTACATTTATCTGGCTGGTTGCCCATCGCTTCACTGGGCCGCCGGCCGGCAGGTTTCGTGTCGGCAAGCAAGGGTTGCGAATGCAGACTGACGACATTGGCACAACCAGTGAGTCGGTTCGCAAGCCAAGACAAGAGTCGGTGGACAGCTTCCAGGTGGGCACAACCCCCCGACAGCTGGCGGTGGTGGCAGTGCACCTTTGCTCGCGTGCTGGCGGTTGTCCAGGGGGATGGACGGAGGACGTTGCTGGTCTTGGAATGCCTGGAAAGGAGCTTGGTCAAGACCCTGCGCTCGGGACTCATCGCGACTGGACGCGTGTGGAGGCGGAAGGCCAGTGAATGTGAAAGCAGCGGACAGCAAGGCAACGATCGCCGCGACAAGGTTGAGACGAGTGGACGGTTGTGACGGGGGAGGCGTCCATCCTTTCTGTTTAGGCAAGTTGGCAGCGAATCAAGTGCCTGAAGAGGTCGAGTCGGATGACCCTTGGCCTGACCCCTGTCGCTGAAGTAGCTGGTCGTCAGGGCAGAGGCACGAAGGGTCCAACAGTCGCCGTGAACGTTGCCAAGTATCGCCACCGTCAGATTGTGCCACCTCAGGGTCTGTCAGGGCCTGCCAGGGCCTGCCAGGGCCATCAGGGCTGCCAGGGCCTGGTGCTGCCTGTGATGGAAAACCGGTTTGCGTTGCAGAGGCACGACCAAGATGGGGGGGCAGGTCAGATGGACTTTGGACAAACGAAGCAGAGGAAACGATGATCATTCCGCTTCAGGATCATGACGGAGGGCGACTCACCAAGAGACTTTGTGTTTCAGAAGATACGGGAAAGGTTCTGGAATGCTGTTCGTGGGCCGACTCTTCCCACATCTTTCCGCTCGACGGCTGTGCCAGATGGAGCTTGGAGCCGGGGACGTGATGGCGGGTTGAAGATGGCCAAGTGTACCCTACCTACCCCACCTCAGTCGGAGGCGCCTCCTTCTCTGCAACTCCGCGACCCTCTCGACCTGCACCTATCTCCAACCTCTTCGAAAGCACGTGATGTGCCTGATCTGTATCTTCCCTCTCTCCTATGGCATGACCAAAGCCTAACGTAAGCACCCACACCCAGTGTTCTCCCAACGCGGTTCTCACATGATTGGCGGCACAGTACGGGAGAGGGGTATCGCCTACATCGCTTGCATTGCCTGCATGGAGCAGCCTGTCAAAGCAGCTGTCCAAAAAACGATATATGATGGCTTCAGTCGCTGAACACGTCTAGCAGGGACGTAGAGACGGGTCCTCGAGGCTTCGGTTGGGCATCACTCGCACTTGCACTGCACTTCAGACACGCTACCTGTCTCTGCCGCGGCCCTAGGAACAATCGGCGTCCTACTAACCACTACACGCCTGAAAGAAACGACCAGGGCCACATGGTCCCGGGTGAAGGTCCGGAGGAGTCCATCTCACCATCAGCCAATTGCGCGCCCACAATCGCTGAAGAATCCGCTCTTCCCGCTAGGGACCGCTGAAGGCCCGCTGAGGAACACGCGAGCGCCCCCCACCGGATGTCCACGCTGCCAACGGCGGCCATCGCGGTTAGGTGGTAGCTTGAACCTTAAGGCACCTAACCTCGCTATGCCCCCCAGTCGTACGAAGGCCAGTGTCGCTCCCGCGGGCGACCACGGCGTTGCACCAGGTCGACCCAGGTCAGTATCGGTATTTCATTTACTTCGGATGGGACTACTCTCCGCGCGCCATCCCACCCTGTCATGCAACATGCAAGGAGCATTTGATGCGTCAGGTAGCCACGTACATGAGAAAGAGGAGGCAGGGGCGGAGCAGGGGCAAGGCTCAACACGCCATAAACTGCTCAAACTGTCCTTCAATACACATCAGTCTTATGCTTTCTCTCCACCATCAATCCTCTTGATATCAATCATGGCTGGTTCCTCGCCTGCACCTGTAGACAACGCTCCGGCTGCTGCTGCGGCGGTAGCCGCTGTTCCCGAGGCGGCTGCTGCCCCGGCTGCTGCCCCGGCTACCAGCGAAGTTGACGACAATATCCTGCCCGGCCGCCATTGGATCGCTCAGGTACGAGCCATATCTTGGGCGCGCAGCATAGTCGTACTGATTCATGTGCCCTAGGCCGAGAACGATGCAGATTCGTTTGTCGACAGCGTAGGCGACGAGACCACGGCCTCTCTGCGGTCCAGCATTCGTAACTACAGGGAAATCAATGGCAGAACCTACCACGGCGAGGTCGGCCAAGCCGAATATTGGTCCGTGAACCACCATACATCGCTGCACAGGATGTCTTGTTTTACTGACTTGTGATGAAGGGGCCCTAACGATGACAGAGCGCAAGAAGGGCTTGACATTCAGTGAGTGTTGGTGTGTACCTGTGGTTCCGCAATGTATGGCTTACGCCGAACAGCCACCACGCCTGTTTCCTCATGCTGGGTCAGGAGCTTCATCTCGCCCCACTCCAAGAGGGTATTCAAGTACGAGTCTATGCTGTCCGAATTTTCATGATTGTTGTTAACATATGGGTCGATAGAAAGTTCTTGATATCGGAACTGGGACAGGTAAGGCACCTATCATCTTCCACGGGAGCAGCTTCTAACAGTGACACAGGTATCTGGGCAATGTGAGTGTTTCCGGACACTGTTCTTGTCGTCATACAGCAGCTCACCGTCCATAGCGACTTTGCGGATGAGTTCCCCGGCGCCGAGGTGATCGGCACCGACGTGTCCCCCATCCAGCCCTCTTGGATTCCGCCCAACCTCAAGTTGTATGTTATTTCTGTCCCTCTGGGTCCGCTGTGTGATGTACATGCTGACGCCCCGCGACTCATACAGTGAAATTGACGACTGCACCCGAGAATGGACATATGCTGAGAACAGCATCGATTACGTCCATACTCGCTGGCTCATCGGCAGCATCGCTGACTGGACTGCTTTGTTCAAGGAGGCGTTCAAGTGCCTCAAGCCCGGTGGCTATCTCGAGAGCCACGAGCCGTCGTCCGGTTTTGAGAACCAGGGCGAGCCCCTGGACCAGAAGAGCGCCTTGGCCCAGTGGGGCAAGTTCTTCGTCAAGGGCGGGCTGAAGTTCGGTCGTCCTTTCACCGTCTTTGAGGAACACATTCAGAGAAAGGCGATGGAGGCGGCCGGCTTTGTCGACATTGAGGAGCGTGAGATCATCGTACGAGCACCCAACATCTCACCTCCCACACTGCATATGACTAACGTGGAGACAGAACCCCGTCGGCAACTGGCCTGCCGATCCCAAGACGAAGGAGATTGCCCAGTTCTCTGAGGCGACCTTCCTTGAGGACCCCAAGGGGTACATCGCCTTCTTCGCCCACGCCCTTGATTGGACGACTGAAGAGATTGAAATGTACCTGTTGCAGTTCCGCCGCGAGCTCAAGTCGAGCAATCACCGGGCCTTCTATCGCCACAGGGTCGTTTGGGGCAAGAAGCCCCTGGTCTGAGAGCCCTCACGTCAGCTCAACAGCTCTGAGGAGACGCCTCGTTCGAGTTGATGAAACTCCAAGAGTGGTCGCATGGGAGGCAGCAAGCGTGATTCTCTGGATTGGGAAGGAAATGGGATTGTTCTTGACTCCGTAGCTTATGAAAGCAGTGACCTGCCTGTGATGGACCTGTCACTCTGTCTCCTTTGCCCACGCCCCCGTTGGTCACGGATATTCAATCAGAGGCCTACTTCCACACCTGTCTCGTTCGCCTTGGTGCTGTCTTTACGTCAGAGCTCGAACCGAATGATCGGCAGCGAATGAAACAAATGATCTGAGAAGCAATGCAACTACATTATGGTGATGCGGTAGGAATCAATGGCTGTAGTGAGTAGATACTTGGTCATAACTGTGCACTGTGGAAAGCGTCGAGTAATGGAGGGTTGAAGCCGCCATAAAAAGCACGTAATTAATGACAACAGGATGTTGTTCACAGCCAGCCCGAATATCGAGGACTCATTCGCAACTTGCACGCGAATAATCCATTATGCCAGCCTCTTCCATATGGTCACGTGCACGCTGGTGTGAACCACCAAGAGACCTGGGACTACCACGTGACTGTAGTAGCATTTTCTTCGATATGGTCACAGCAGTTTCTGCTTGAAGATTTTCAGCCCTTCCCAATCGAGCAGGCGGTCTAGGCGCAATGCTCAAACCTTCCTCACCTGTCACCACCACATCACCCGTCCACAGCCTGCCACTTGGTTATCCCCTCCCCTCAGCTCAAACACCGCTCTGACCCAACAGTCGTCCTTGACTCCAAGAAGTCATCGACAGTGTCATCGCGAATCCTTCAAATCTGTGGCCGGCAGCATTTAATCCACAGCGCTTGTCGTTCTTACGTCGTCCAGACACCTCGAAGCTTCGTAACCCTCGCAGATCATCAGTGTCTGTTCTCTCGCGACCAAGGTCCTGCAGCAACACTCGTGCTGCCCACGCGTCATTCTTCTTGATTCATACGAGCTTCTTGAGAAACAGAAAGAATCGTGCATCATGGCTGAACAACCGCGCGACCTGTCGTCGATCCTCGCCGCCCTTGGTAAGCAAGCACCCGAAACATGTACCATGCACAATGCCAGGTCTCAAGCCTGTCATGCCGTCGTCCCTATACCTTTGTCTGCGTTCTTTCACTCTGCGTTCTTTCACTCTGCGTTCTTTCACTCTGCGTTCTTTCAAAAAAGCTGACTCGATGATCCGCAGGCGCTGCGCAGCGCGGTCCCTCGACGACGCCCACACAAGGACAGCCACCCGCTCATCCCGGTTACCCCCCGCCCCCCGGCGTTCAACAACCGCCTCCCTCCTACCCTCCTATGCCCCAGGGCGCAGCTCCGCCGCCTCACTATCCTGGCGCCAGCGGCTACCCGATGCCTCAACCCATGGCTTCTGGCAGTGTCGACCTCAGCTCTATCCGCCCCGTCAATTCTGGTACCGTCAGCCTTGCTGATGCTATTGCCCAAGCCAAGGCTTTCGCCGCCGAGAAGGGGGTCAGCTCCTACGATCGACCAGTCGTGTACGCCAACGAACCGCCTCGCGGGCCGCAAGATCCTCGCGCTTATCAGCAAAACTCTCGTTCCCGATCACCACCCTCGCGCCGTGACCCTTACCGAGACGGAGGCAACCCCTACCGCGATGAGCGTCGTGAGGATCGAGGCCCCTCTCGCGACTACGGCCACGGTGGTGGCCACGGTCGCGAGCGTTCCTACTCCCCAGGCCCCCGAGGCGGAGGCCGCACCTTTTCGCCCAAGAACGGCGGTGGCGGCGGCCGCGAGCGCTCCCCTCTACGTAGCAATGGTGGCGACGACCACGCCGAGACCATTCAGATCGAGTCCAGCCTCGTGGGCCTCATCATCGGCCGACAGGGCGAGAACCTCCGTCGCATCGAGGGAGAGAGCGGCTGCCGTGTACAGTTCATGCCATCGACCGACGGCGGCCCATACCGTTCGTGCAAAATTTCAGGCCCAAGGCCACGCCGCGCCGAAGTCAAGACTGCCATCAACCGCATCATCGAGGACAGCGGCATGAGTGTGATCAACCGAGGTGGAGCCCTCAAGTCGCAAGGTGATCCGCGCGCCGGCGGCATGGGCGGCCCTGCCCCCAAGGAGGGTGAAGACTGCCTGCAGATTATGGTGCCAGATAGGACCGTTGGCCTCATCATCGGACGTGGCGGTGAGACGATTCGCGACCTTCAAGAGCGTTCCGGCTGCCACATTAACATCACGAGCGAAGCCAAGAGCACCAACGGCCTTCGCCCCGTCAACCTCATTGGCTCTCCCCAGGCCGCTGCCATGGCCAAGGAGGCAATTCTTGAGATCGTCGACAGCGACAGCCGTGGTGACGGCCAGCCGGTCCCGCCCAAGAGGGGCCCTCGACAGGACAATGCTCGAGATGGTCCTAGTGGCGGCGGCGGCGGTGGCGGCGGTCATGATAAGATCAACGACACTATTCACGTTCCATCTGAGGCTGTTGGTATGATCATTGGCAAGGGCGGCGAAACCATCAGGGAGATGCAAAATAACACTGGGTGCAAAATCAATGTTGCCCAGTCGTCTGGTCCTGGTGAAGTTGAGCGCGAAATCGCCCTCATTGGCAGCCGCGAAAGCATCACGCAAGCAAAGGCAGCGATCGAAGAGAAGGTGGACGCAGTGGTAGGTCCATACAACCCTTGCGAGGGATGAGCATTCTCGGCTAACACGTCAACAGCGCCAAAAGAGCGGAGGTGGTGGTGGTGGACGTGATGGTGGTGGCCGTGGTCGTCAACAACAGCACCATGACTATGACAATTACTCGCAGCAGGCTTCTAATGCTCCAGCACAGGCTAACGCTCCGGCGGCTCCGGCGCCGGCAGCTGCAGATGGATCTGATCCGTACGCCCAATGTATGTTTCCCCCCGTTGGCTGTCACTAATCTGCCGTTACTGACTTGAATCCAGATGGCGGCTACCAGAACTACCTGGCCCTTTGGTACCAGTCATTGATGTACCAGCAACAGCAAGGTGGTAGCGCTCCCCCAGCGGGCGGCCCCCCAGCTCCTGGTGCGGCTTAGGTGCGCCAGGGCTGCTCCTCGTCGACTTGGGGATGCATCCTTGTGTGATGTGCATGATCTTTCGACCTCGATCAACATGATGCCTCGCATGACCGTCTGACGCCTGACGAATTTCTCTGCGTGCCCGCCTCTTATTGACTGGTGCTGCATCCTCAACGCCATCGTTGATTCGCCCCGATCGTTGATTCAAGATGCTGTTTATTGCACGTCTCACCCATTTGGAAGGGCACCACATCCGCCTCATGATACACGACCATGGGGGAAGGGACCACTTATTTGACGTGTGTCGTTCGGCCCCCGATGCACATGTCCAAGCTTTTGATTGACGCGCCATGACGCCTCTTGACGACTTGAACTCTAATGCTCGTCCGCTTCTTGCTGGGACCTCATTCGCACGCATATGACTTTGAAAGGACGTTCGTGGTGGGGACGAGGTTCAGCCAGATCCATTGGACTCGCATGCTTTCCTCGTGACGGTCGCGTTGATCCTTCAACTGCACGAAACTTCCATCGACGAACAACGTTTCTCCATCCTGCTGATCGTCCGTTTGGAATTGCCTTGGATATCGGCCGTGCCATGGTCTTACCTACTGTCACCACGCTAGGATTCGCCATCGACTGACGGTCGTTGTCCACCTTGAACAGCTTGCTACTATACCGTGTACTGGATGATGGTTCTTCTGTGGCATTCTCGTCACGGACAGCTCGTCACGATGTCCCGCTCAAGTTTACCGCGCAGACAGAACGATGGGACATGGTAGTCCTGCTGTCCCAGCGACACTTTTCGTTTTTCTTTTCTTCCTTTTTCCCTTGCCTTTTGTTTTCCCCTCCTAGCTTTGGCTTCATAGTTATGCGCAGGCGTTTTGCGCATACATATCTCTGCCCGATTATTTCAATCAGAGGCTCACGAATGGGATGGGCGGGCACCATGTGGTAGGCCAGGTTTTGGCCAAACAGAAAAAAAAAGCATGGAGGTGGTGAATGGACAATTGTCCACATGTATCAGATAGTAATGCGGAATATCAGTCAGCAGCTGTTCACGATTTGCGTGACCCTCCGATGCGCGCTTCGGCCTCATCGGCTTCATGCCGCCTTCTTAAACGTCTCCGTGACGACCTTCCAATAACGCGCAGAGTCGGTCCGGGCGTGTGCTACATGCCCGCTGCCCACGAACCGCTCTCTTCTCACCTCCAGCCCTCCAGCCGCCGCCTCGTCGGCGTGCGCTTCGACATCCTTCCAGCCGACCATTTTGTCGTCCGCGCTGTATACATACGTCCGCCGCAGCTCGGTCGCGGTGACCCGCTCCGCATTGAGCGCCGCCGCCGCCCGGTCGAGAGAGCTCGCGCGGCGCAGCGGCACGTGGAGGAGCCAGTAGATCGCCAGCAAGAGGTACAGTACCGGTGCCAGCGGCCAGGGCACGCCTGTCGCGAGGGCGCCGTGGGTCCTGCGGAAACGAAACGGGGCCGGGCAGGAGTCGAAGACGGCAACGTGCGGGGGCAGAGCCGCGGGGCCCAGGAGGGCGAGGAGGCGGTGCAGGCTTGCGGCGCCGCCGTTGGAGAAGACGTGCAGGCGGAGGCGGTGGTTCTTGGCGCTGGCCGGCGGGGGCAGGCCGGCGATCAGGGACAGCGCCGGGGCGAGGGCGGCTTGGGAACGAGGGCGTGAGAGGACGTGCGTGGCTGGGTGTTTGAGGAGGAGGCGGGTGTGCGGGAAGAGAAGGAGGTGGTGAGACAGGTATTTGGCGATGTGGGCGTCAGAGGCGGCGTACCATGCGAAGAGGATCGTTAGATCGTGGGAGGGCGAGGGAGGGTCGTAGAGGAGGGTTGAGGGGGTAAGAGTCCTCATCCGGAGGAACGGGTCAGAGCTTTGCGTGGCCATCGCGGTATCAAGCGAGCACGTAGTACCGTGCGGTAGAAGGACTGGAAGGGCGTCGTCGCATTTTGTGCGGAGTTGTGCCGCAGAGCCTCGGACCTGCGGGCCATCGTCGCGCCGGGGGTCCGTTTCCGCGGAAGGGTGAGATGCTCCGAGTCTCACCCCGTGACAGTGACCGTGCTGCGGAGCTGCCACAGCGTCGCATCCCGGGCATCTGGCCCAGACCAATAGTCCAGGCGGGCCTCAGAAATCGCTCGAGCATTAGGCACCTACTTTGACAGTTGCCAAGTGTAGCTGTGAATGGCCGAGATCCGAGAATTTGTAGAAGCCAAGCTCGACTGTAGCAAACAGCCTCTTGCAAGTGTTCCAGCCCTGCGGCTCAGCAATGATGTGGTCAATGACTTGACTCGGGAAACCCAATCAATCTCGCCTGTTGGCAGAGTCTTGACAGAGAATCGGTGTAAGAACCAGTGAGAGGATATGTCAACTTCATTGCCAAGTCAATACTGTACAAACCCATTTTGGGGCTCCTGGCCGAGGCACTCTCCCCTTCCTGACCACATAAATGTTCACGTCTTCCTCCTCTCTATCGTGAACCGGTCCTCGCCGTGAACCTCATCCTGCTAGTTTCTGTTGACTCTCGCCTGTTGTTTCTCATAGCCACCACGTTTTTTGCAAGGTTTGCATATCGCCTTACAACATGCATTTCTTCACCCCACTTGCTATTCTTCTCTCGACCATCACAGCTGTACATGCCGACAACGATCAGGAAATCAAGTTTACAACACCCGAGACACAACAAGTACTCAACATCTCAGCACCCGTCCTCTTCGAATGGACTCTCCCTGAGTCTGGCACATATCGAGCTTTCGATCGCATGAACTTGACCCTCACCGTGGATGTTACAAACGAAGGAGAGCCTGTGAGCTTGATGAGCCTGATTGCCATCGACATCGATCTCCGGAGTCTGAGCTACGAATGGCACCCGAGCAACTTCACAAAGGACTTGGACGAAATTTCTGCCACTCTGTTATCTGGAAACCACAATCAAGTACTGGCCGAGATTGGGGGCGACCCGAACGACGAAAGCGTTGGCTTCGTGGCACATGCTATTGAAGAGGTAGGCTTGGAGGGATACCATACCATGGCGCCTGCTGAGTCGGGGGCCAGTGTCGGGCGCCGGTCGATGTGGGCTTTCAGCGCTCTGCCTGTGATCATGGCCGTGGCGCACGGCATGGTGTGAAACAGCATCGACTTGACGAAAGAGGTAGACATACGAGACATATAAAATGAACAAGATGCTCTCTCGTGACATGGTTTGCTTTGCTTGGCGAACTTTGCCTGTGAAACGATGTCATCCGTGCTTTCAAGGATGACAGGCCGGACCTTTGGACTGAAGTCGGCCGTCGTGTCACCTGTCCATGGCCGATCTGACAGATGCAGAGCGACCGGCCTCGGAGGAAGACATCGGCTCTGGGTGCTTGGTGCTGGCATGCCGTCAAGGTGCCCCTGAGTGGTGTCACATATGCCTCTTCCACGCCTCGAATTGACGACGACCAACACCGTCCACTGCAGGCACCCGGTCCTGGGCAACACTGCCGGCGGGTGATCGAGTTTCTGACGGGACCGGTGCCGCAAGCTCGCATTATAAGGGAGTACAGAATTTCGGTGATTCGGCTAGATCGGGTCAACAAGCTTAGACAGCACTGCTCAAGTGATGTGCAGTTTGTACCTTGCTCTTGAACCGGGCCGATGGTTGCATCCACTAGCAAGCGAAAGCTCGGTGGCCTCCAAGATATCTACCTTGGGTACCTAAGGTAATAGGTAGGTAGGTAAGTAAGGTAGCTTACCGTGGGAACAAACATGGTTCGAGGCAGAAACTCTCTCGGACACTTGCGTTCGTGTCTGCTGCCTCGTGTGGTTTTGGTCGGTTCTCTGCACCTTCCTCGCAATGCCACCGTTGCCATCCGCTCGCTCTTGCCTGCTGCAGTTTCGCCTAGGAAGCCTCTGATTCACCTCGGATCGGGATGCATGGTTCTGTTTGCCTTGACACCGTGAGCTACAAGTCTGTCCACCCCTTCTATACCTCCGATCCCTCCCCCCTTTCTTCATTCTATCGCCTGGGCCATCATCGTCCTCTGTACCCTGACACGTACTGTCGGTTTCGTGTGTTCTTCCAGGTCCATCCTGAACATCACCTTTGATTTCTTACTTCTTTCTATTCCAACATTCACCCACAAGTCTTTCGTTCAGAACTGAATCCCTCTTCCTGTTATTAGGACTTCCGACATGAAACCCATCAGCCTGCTCACCTCTCTCGCTGGCGCTGGCCTGCTCACGGTCACACTAGTCCACGCTGAGATTGATCTCTCGAGTCCTTTTCAGGGCGTCTCTTTCCAACGCATCAAGGCAGTCCGTGATCGATCCTCCGACGAGACCTCAACTCACCGCCAGGTCCTGAAGCCCTTTCATGGTCGCATCACCAGACACAATGCCGCTTCCGCCATTGCTGCCGCTGAGAAGGGGCAGCCCGGCGCAGGCTACCAGAACATCACCGCCCTTTCGCCCTACGGGACGCAGTATGCCATGGAAGTCATCTGGGATGGCACGCCTATTCAGATGATATTCGACACTGGAAGCAGCGATACCTGGGCGGCCCGGTCCGACTTTTCCTGCACCAATCGAGGCGGAACCATAGAATACCCTCAAGAGTCGTGCAGTTTCGGCAACCCCGCAATCGACAGCTTCAAGTATGGCGAGATCCCCGACATACACTTCACCCTCGGCTACGGCTCCGGTGAACGCGTCTCCGGCCCCATGGGCTACAGCGACCTGACCGTTGCTGGTATCACCGTCAAACAAACGCAGGTCGGCCTGGCCAACCAAACCTTTTGGTACGGTAACAACGTGACCCAGGGCATTCTTGGCATGGCGTACCCTGCCTTGACGAGTGCCTATTCGGGGAGCCTCAGCGAGAACCGCCAGGCGTTCCAGATCCCTTATGCCCCTTTCTTCACCAGCATGGTTCAGCAGGGACTCAGTGATGCTAGCTTCAGCGTCGCTCTTGCCCGCAACTCGTCCAACGGCCTCATCGCCTGGGGTGGCCGCACTGGCCTGCCCACGACGGGCCCGACCGCTTCTACCGACCTCATCGTTGTAAGTAGTAGTTGTAGAAGGCCCGTTAGGTTCTTCAACTGCAGCCTACCCCGGACTAACGCCTCCACAGGCCAATATCAACCCAACAAGGAGCGAAACAGCCTGGAAATACTCGTATTATACCATTATTGTCGAAGGCGTCCAGTGGGCACAAACAGTCGACTCGACACATTGTGCCTACATCGTCGATACCGCGACGACACTGACTTATGTGCCGCCGCAAGTGGCCGAAGCCATTGCCAATGCTTTCGAGCCCGCCGCCATGTACATGTTCTCATACGGCGGCTACTTTGCACCATGCGATGCCATCGCGCCCAGGATTGCTTTCCATATTGGAGGCGAGAAATTCTTCATCAACCCTGTCGACATGATGTGGCGTCATCTGAAGGACCCCCTGACCGGATACTGCCAGATTGGCATCTCGACGGGCGGACCAGGGCCTTATATCCTGGGCATGACGTTTTTGCAAAACGTTGAGGTTGAGTTTGATGTTGGCGCAGCCGAAGTACGTTTTCACGGCCGCCAGTTTTACGGACCAACCCCGGCACTCCCCGAACAGTAGAGTCGTGCTCAGGAGCAGGGTCGCAAGGCTATCGAGAAAGCCGAGGCGAAGCTTTGCCCAGCTTGCAATAGAGATTCAAAGCAGTCCCAATGGTGGAATTGAAGAACGCAACCTACCGCGATACTACTGCATTTCAGTGTTGCATGGACAACATGAGATGTGGCCAAGACAAGGACACGTCCAAGTCTTTCCCCATATGACGGGGGCTGACAGTGTAAAGGGTCATATCACGCATGTGATCAGTGACATACAAGATCCTCTGTATCAATGAAGTATATAGGTTGCTTGACCTTTTGGTCGATGCTGTCCATATCGTGTGAACGGCTGTAATGATGCAGTGCAACGATCGAGACATGATGTGATACGATAAGCGAGCCTGCGACCCCCACTGAGCGACAGCCACATTCGTGGGGGACGTGTCTCAGAGACTTGAGGTGTAGAACGGGCAGGTAGAACCCAGCGCCTGGGTCTGATCGACAGCGCGAGGTTTTCCACGTTCCCAGACACAAAAAAAAGAAGAAAACACACTCTCCTTGCCAGCATGTCCACTCAGCAGTCGGGGTTACGGGCGCACCTCATTTGCACTGGAACCCAGCGTGCTCCCTAGAAGGCCAGCTGCCGCCTCGCATCTCAAACCCAATCCCACCCCGCCGCTATCAGCCCCCTCGTTGCGCTACGGGGTGGGTGACCAGGCCTCAGCGGCAGTGCCATCAATTGCCGCAGCATTTTCCTGTGGTCGATTCCTCTGCAGCAACCTACATTCTACCTCTTCCGAAAGACGATAACCGACCACTCAGCAGTAGCTCGAGCAAGAGCTTTCCTTATACCTCTAATCGTCACCGAGACTAGACACGAGAGAGAGAGAGAAAGAGAGAGAGCGAGGAAGCATAGGCACGCAGCACGCAGCAGCAAGCATGTTCGGAGGAGTTGCCGCGGGGCCCCCGCTGGCGGAAACCAGGGCGGGCAGGCGGCGCCAGAATACCTACAGCTTCAGCAGGGTGAGTTGCGGTCGAACCCAATTTCTCGTTTTCATTTCGTCGCTTTGTCGTTCCTCCTCTCCCTCGAAAATCACCTTCCACTGCCGAGTCTGCGTCCTCTTTCTATTCTTCCTTTCTTTCTCGCACACTTCTCCCTCTTCCCAAGCGGCCGTGGGGGCAACAAGAGTCGAGACCCTTCTGGCGAGGGTGGCACCCCCCTTGTCGGGTCGGGACGTGCTTGCGCGTGACCTCGCTGTCAAGTGATGCCGTGGAGGCGGTGTAGTTCACAGGGGCCGCACCGACGACGTAGGACTGGCGAGGTGCCGATTTGCTGGGAATTATGCTGTTCCTGGTGCCTGGACGAGCCGTTCAGAAGTGTGGAGGGAGGGCAACCAGTGCGGACAAGTTTTATATTGGGGTGGCATCAAAGCAAACGACCCGCGGGATAAAAGACAAGCAGTGTCTGTGACAAGCGTCGTCGGTACTTCATAGCCACTGACGCACTTGCACAACGGCGCGGTTGGGATGAGACAAACTTTGGCGAAGCGAGTGGTCCATGGGAAAACAACGAGGTTTGAGAGTGGGAAAGGCAACGAGCGTTCTTGACAGGGCCCATGGAAAGCATATTTCTTGCCTCGATGCAGCAAGGCTTGTCGGGAATCCCAGTGCCAAGTCGGCAACATGGGTGCGGCTCGTCGGACACGGTCACGCTGGCATTGTCACATCGCAGTGCTTTACGGCGAGGGCGCTGGGCTCCACCTCGGCTGTTCGGTGAGGCAAGGGACCGCGACCAGAGTGATGTGTCGGGGTCCCGGCCAAGCAGCTAGCCAGAGCGTTCTCTGAAGCTGGACCAACTTGGAGATGCGGGGTGGGCAGCCAAGCCTGTCGTAGAGGAGCCGAACCAGCCAGCAGCAGGGACAACAGGGCCACCCACTTTGTCAAGGTCTCTTGACCTTCTCACCCACGCTGTTCGCCCCTCGTCGGCTCTCTGGAAGTTGTGGACGGGCTACGGGAAAGAGAGAATAGACGGTGTGGGCATTCGGCCGGGCCAATGGTGTCGGAGAAGGCCCCATCAGCTCATCCTGCGATTCCCGAAGGACCCTCCCTACCCGTCACCCGTCGCCTGCCGCCCCGCGCACTCAACTGTCCATCCTCGGGAATCCTCGCGCCATTCGTCATTCGTTTGACTGGTCTCTTGGTGCTGTGGTTTTGGCATTACCTACTACCTACCAGTTGTCGGTCCACTCTACTACCCACCATCTCAACGTCCGCTCTGGACTCTGGCGGCCTCTTCTTCACCCTTGAACACCCCTCGAGCCTGGCAGAGAGCTCTTCTTCAGCCCTAGGAGAAGGACGGCCGGAAGAGTCTTTGTCCCACTTGACGATCCACGCACCTGCCAGAGAGACGAAGCATCTACCCACTTCCACTGGCCAGAGCCTGGCTAGCAGCACCTTTTCCCCATTCCCATCACCACCTCTCTGCTTCACCTTGTTGCCCTTTCATTGTATCCGTCTCTGGCGGTTTGTCCCGGGGCCCAAACATTACTCTTCACACCTTGCGGTTCTCAATTGGCTCGCCATCACAGCGTCTGGCATTACTTCCCCCCACCAAGCCCGTCTCAAGCCTTGAGTCAGGCTCGTACTTCTCCTAGACGTTTTGGGAGCTTTGCTGCCGGTGCTGCAACTATCACACGAGCTCAGCTTTGCCAACACCACCTCACCCCTGGCGTCACGCGGACTCAGATCGACCCCGACCTCACGACAAGCACCTCTCCTTCATGTGTTCCAATTCTACCTCGTGCTATTCTTACATTTTATCACTTTTCTTCAAACAAAGCATATTACCGTACCGGCAATTAAGTCAAGATGGTGCGATTGACTAACGGCATGGGCGTCCAGGTGGAAGACACCAAGGTCTGCGTGGTCATGGTGGGCTTGCCAGCCCGAGGAAAGAGCTTCATCGCCCAAAAGGGTAAGTGAGACCTGACAAGCCAGACATAACAGCCTCTACTGCTGCTCTGATGCTGACATTTTCGCCAGCGCAACGTTATCTCAAATGGCTTTCAATAGAGGCCAAGACATTCAATGTCGGCAACTACCGCCGTGAGACGGCTGCTCAGCCCACCGCCGACTTCTTCGACGTCAAGAACCGCGAGGGCGAGCAGAAGCGCCGCGCTGCCGCTGAGGCTGCCATCGCCGACATGATGACCTGGTTCCAGAAGGAAAATGGCACTGTCGCCATTCTTGACGCGACCAACTCCACGAAAGAGCGCCGCAAGTGGGTTTTGGACCGCTGCACGAAGGAGGGCGTTGAAGTCATCTTTGTTGAGAGCAAGTGTGATGATGAAGACCTCATCATGGCCAATATTCGTGACGTCAAGGCCACTTCGCCCGATTACGCTGGCCAAGACCCCGAGCAGGCGGCACTCGACTTCCGCAACCGCATTCGCAATTACGAGCAGGTGTACACGTCGATCGACGAAGATGGTGACGAAAACAGCTACACGTTCCTCAAGATTATGGATGTCGGCAAGCAAGTCATCATCAACCGCATTCAGGACTACCTGCAGAGCCGCATTGTTTATTATCTCATGAACCTCCACATCCGCCCGCGCTCCATCTGGCTGTCAAGAGTGAGTTTCTCTGAGCTACCAATGAAACCCAGTAATCGTGTCCCCCCCCAGGCTGACAAACGCTTTAGCACGGCGAGTCGCTATACAACCTCGACGGCCGCATTGGCGGCGATACCATGCTGTCGCCTCGCGGTGAGCAATACGCTCGCAAACTGCCCGAGCTCGTGCGTGAGTCCGTCGGCGACGACCGCCCCTTGACGGTCTGGACATCAACCCTCAAGCGCACCATCGCCACAGCCCGTTTCCACCCGCCTCACTACAACCAGCTCCAGTGGAAGGCGCTCGACGAGCTCGACTCTGGCGTCTGCGATGGCCTGACGTATCAGGAAATCAAGGACCGCTACCCTGACGACTTTGCAGCCCGCGACGAGGACAAGTACAACTATCGCTACCGTGGCGGCGAGTCGTACCGCGACGTGGTTATCCGCCTGGAGCCCATCATCATGGAACTCGAGCGCTCTGAGGACATCCTCATCGTCACGCATCAAGCCGTGCTGCGTTGCATCTACGCTTACTTCATGAAGAAGGACCAGTCCCAAAGCCCCTGGATGAACGTGCCGCTGCACACCCTCATCAAGCTCACTCCCCGCGCGTACGGCACCGAGGAGGTCCGCTATGAGGCCAACATCCCCGCCGTCAGCACATGGCGTGGCAAGGGTAGCACGGCGAAGCACGAGAACCCCACGCCTGAGACCATCTAGTTCTGCTTGATTGAGGAGAAACACGGCCACTGAGATACTTGGGGCAAGGACAGGACCATGAAGAACCCAGGAATATGCATCGACACACGGGACCCAGTTTGTCATTTGATCCACACTCCTTGAGTGGTGACGAAGAATTCTTTGCTTCATTGGCGTTTTGAGGATGGCATGCTGGTATGATCGGCTCGGCCGTGGCGGAGTTGCATGGACGAGGAGGGGGACAGGTTCAAAATTGAGGGCACGGGGATCAGTGTGAGTCGCAACGGGCCTGCGACTTGTATCGTTATTTATGAATGAACCCAGTTGACGTATGACCATCGGACATTCATGGCTCTCAAGTCACGCTGAGTAAATCGTTGATGTATTTACATATCCCTGAGCACCCGAGGTGAACAGGTCTTGAGGTTCTGGTTTTGGGGTAAGGTAGCGCGTAGTGTTGCCCCGCCACATTCGCAAGGCCATCTGGCGATGAACCTGAACCACGTGAGAAACTGCGATAGGGAAGCAAAAATTGAATGGAATCACTGAAAGAAAACAGCATCCATTTCTCCGTTTGAAGAGCGCGTAGTCATGTATTGTTTAAAGGCTGACACCTCTTGACTCTTCGTGATGAGACGATGCCGAGTGGATGGACAACAGGTTCACGGATGGGAGAACATGGTATTCTTATCTTATCTAATCGTCAGCCTTCTCCACGCGCCGCTGATACGCACCCTGTCTAACCAAAGCAGGTTAGACACATGGTGACTTCATTGAGGAGGCAGTGGTAGCGATCCACTAGATCTATTGCCAAAAGGGCAAGGCTCGCACGAAAATTCTGGTTAGACAGTAAGTGCTAAATTGAGTAGGGCTGTGGGGATGTGCATATTGACAGAGTCCCGCTGTCCCAGAATTTTTCTGGCGATAAGAAAAAAATCCCACCTCTTCAATCCGACCCAGAGAGCCTTGACACCGTTTTCGAGGTACACATTTCCCCAACCCCGACAACTCGACAAACCACAAACGGCACAATGGTCGACGCCGCCTCCAACAAGAAGCGCAAGCTCCGCGACGCCAACGGCGACAAGGCTGCTGCCCGCAAGGCCGCTGAGGCTCCGGTAGCCGTCTCCCGAAAGTCGAAGAAGCAGAAGCAGGCGAAGGACGCTGCCGAGGAGTCTGAGGACAACTTCGAGTCTGGCAGCGAAGAGGAGGAGCAAGACGAGGAGGACGAGGACGAAGATCCTGAAGCGGCCGAAGCCAACGCGGAAGCCGTTGCGACCGCAGCAAACGACCAAGATGTCGACCTGGAGATCCCGAACCGCGAGGCCCTGACCCTGCCACCCTCGGGCGAGGAGGCGCAGGACTTCTCGCAGCTCAACCTGTCGGAGAAGACGATGAAGGCGATAGAGGGCATGGGGTTCACAAAAATGACGGAGATTCAGAGGAGAGGTATCCCGCCCCTGCTGACGGGTCGCGATGTCCTGGGTGCGGCCAAGACGGGCTCGGGCAAGACGCTTGCCTTCCTGATCCCCGCCATCGAGATGCTCAGCTCGCTGCGCTTCAAGCCCCGAAATGGAACCGGTGTCATCGTCGTGGTAAGTTTTGAGAGAATGCCCGTTGGGATGGTAGCCCGTTGGGATGCAAGCAGTCGCTAACATGCGCAGTCCCCCACCCGCGAACTCGCCCTGCAGATCTTCGGCGTCGCGCGCGAGCTCATGGAGCACCACTCTCAGACCTACGGCATTGTCATTGGCGGCGCCAACCGCCGTGCTGAGGCCGAGAAGCTCGCCAAGGGCGTCAACCTCATCATCGCCACGCCCGGCCGCCTGCTCGATCACCTGCAGAACACGCCCTTTGTCTTCAAGAACCTCAAGACCCTCATCATTGACGAGGCCGACCGCATCCTCGAGATTGGTTTCGAGGACGAGATGCGCCAGATTGTCAAGATCCTGCCCAGCGCCGACAGGCAGACGTCCCTCTTCTCGGCGACCCAGACGACCAAGGTCGAGGACCTTGCGCGGATATCGCTCCGCGCCGGACCGCTGTACATCAACGTCGACCAGACGAAGGAGCACAGCACCGTCGAGGGCCTCGAGCAGGGTTACGTCATCTGCGACGAGGACAAGCGGTTCCTGCTGCTGTTCTCCTTTCTGAAGAGGAACCTGAAGAAGAAGGTCATTGTCTTCTTCAGCAGCTGCAACTCGGTCAAGTACCACGCCGAGCTGCTGAACTACATCGACCTCCCTGTTCTGAGTACGTCGTCCTCACCCGCCTGGAACATTGCCGCATGGTCAACTTGCTAACGACTCGTAGGTCTTCACGGCAAGATGAAGCAGCAGGCTCGCACGAACACTTTCTTCGAGTTCTGCAATGCCAAGCAAGGCACCCTCATCTGCACTGACGTTGCTGCCCGTGGCCTCGATGTACGTAACCTGACATTGTGCCATCCCAGACAGACTGCTGACACGCCCAGATCCCCTCCGTCGACTGGTCCGTCTCGTTCGACCCCCCTGATGCGCCCACCGACTACGTGAGTCCTCTCCACAAAACACGACACGACACCCTTAAAGTAGCATGCATACTGACAAGTCTAGATTCACCGTGTCGGCCGTACCGCCCGCGCCAACGCCAAGGGCAAGTCGCTCCTCTTCCTGCACCCCAGCGAGGTGGGCTTCCTGTCGCACCTCAAGGCGGCGCGCGTGCCCGTCGTCGAGTTTGAGTTTCCCGCCAGCAAGGTCGCCAACATCCAGGCCCTCCTCGAGAAGCTCATCAGCCAGAACTACTACCTCAACAAGTCGGCCAAGGACGGCTACCGCAGCTACCTGCACGCCTACGCGAGCCACTCGCTGCGCTCCGTCTACGACATTAACAAGCTCGACCTCGCCAAGCTCGCCAAGAGCTTCGGCTTTGCCGTCCCCCCCCGCGTCGACGTCACGGTCGGCGCCAGCGGCCGGGACAAGAAGGTCCAGGGCAGGAGGACGTACGGCATCCAGCCGAGGCAGAATGACCGCTTCAGGCAGAAGGGTCGGTCCAACTGAGGCGAGAATACCCGAGGACAGGGAGCGGAGCCAGAATCGATAGGCGAGGGAGAAGGGGGCATCAAAGGGGAGGAGGATGGGTGAAAAAATCAACACACTTGTACTTTCTGGCGTGTTCGGTCAGCATGGCGTTTTAGAACAACTTTTTTTTTTTGGACAGAACCTGTTGGGATTTCGGGACCTGTACGACGTTCGAGATCGGCTGCCCCTGTCTGCTGTTTTATGAGCTTTGTCGTCCTCTTTCTTGTTTTGCTGCTGGGCGTGCTTTGTGTGCATGTGTGCTTTGTCCGCTGTCGTGGTTTCCGGCATTGGTCATCTCGTCTTCTTCGTTGTCTTTATTACCAACGCATCAAGGAGGATGAATCCAGTACAGCGTCATTCAATCGCACCTGCCTTCTGGTAGGGCCCGATATGATCCATGCCGCACGAACAGCCTTTCGATTGGTACGGTTTCCTTCGTTCTCGCCAGTTCAACTGCCACGACTCCTTTCCTACCCCCTTAACGCATCGATATTGGTAGAAAACAATAGCCAGGAGACCCTCGCTGGCGACATCAACATCGTGAGAAGCCACTCCCAAGTCGTACCGCGCACAATGTGCATCCAGATTTATACGCTGCACGTCTCCTGCGATCACCACCAGTATCAAAACACCTTCCCATGCCGTTCCGCTCGCGGTCACAACCTCGGCCACCCGACGCGCGACCTCACTCTGCACCACACGAAGCACCTTCCTGCATCTCCGCCGAGCGAGTCGAAGCTGGCCATGTGCACTGGTGAGTTGAGGAATGCGACGCGGCCTGTGGAGGGGACTTGCCAGGCCTGCGTGCGGAAGGCGCGCGAGAAGCGAGGTTCGATGGTCGTCGTGTTCAAGCGGAAGAGCATTCACTGACTGCTGAAGTAGGGCAGAAGGGAAGGCGCAGAGACGACACGATGACGGATGTGAGGACGAGCATCGCCGGGTTTGAGGATATACTTGCTAGGCTGAAGATGTGATGCTCCCGAGGCTGGCATATCGGAGCCGTGAGCATGGCCCCTGAACACTGGGATCTGGAAGGAGATATCAGTCCAGATTGAGAAGGGTCCATAAGTGCCGTGGAAGCGCCATCATCGGCAGTCTTTCCGAGAGAGGACAACACTGTCAAGGAAGGCAACGGCACGCAGCAAGTTTGCAAGCGAAGCGTTGTAAGGCTAAACGAAAAGACATCGTAGGTTGAAACTTGGGCTGATCCCTTGACAGATGGCTGGCTAATGAGTCGTCGAATGGCTTACTTTCATATGAGGAAGACGTGACGAGGTATTTGGTAGTTGGAAAGATTTGCTCACAACGTGGTGCGCTGGCTGAGATATCGGAGGCTGATGATATTGCGCTTCCGTGAGTGAGCTGAGCATCCTGAGCCATACGCCTTTTCAAGCTTGAAGCTGGGTTAATGTGCAGTGAGAAGCTGCGTCCAGGACGGATCGAGACAGGCCACCAATGGAAAAGCACTATCATGATTGCTTCGATGACCAGGGGCTGAAGCACCAGAAGCATCTGGTGGCATGTTATGCTCTGGTGCGCCGCATGCTTAGGAGTCATAGGGATTTTTCCAATGCAGATGCGACGAATTCATGGCCAACTGAAGCAGCAAGCATCTATGCTCGTGGACGCAGCTTTGCTCGGGTAGTGCATCCTCATGTTCCATGTCCAATCTGTGAATTTGACTTGCGGGGCAACACAGCAGCTGGTCGTTAAGTACTAGCTACCTTACTTGACCTTGGTACTAGGTAGGTACTTTAGGTAGTATATGCCAATGTCGTCTTGTCATACAGCACGAGTGCCATCGTCAGCTGACAGTGAGACGAAGTGAGGCCGTCGCTTCTTGGCCATGACCACTTCGTGGCATGGTTGCCTGGGGTTGGTCGAAGAAGCGACGACTGGACAGACAACGCCTGCACAAAGCCGCCGTGGAATATGAACAAGCTGCTGCAGCGTGGCTTCCAAAAAGATCTAGCGGCCCCGTCTTCCCCAGGCCAGAACTCCACTGACAGGTCCTCTGTCGAATCAGCACTGCGGGGCTCAACGAACAGAGGTTAGCGCCCAGGGGGGAGGGGGCCGATTTCCCTTGAACCCCTGCCGGGCGCTGGGTGTCTCCTGCTGCTCCTGCGCAGGCTGCACCTTCCACCTGGTCCTGGTGAGAGGGGGGACGAGGGGGGCAGGAGCAAGCTAGCGCGGCGCCAGGTACGCATGCCCATGCCCGCCGGGTCGAGCAAGTCCAGCCAGGCCAAGGCCAGGCCAAGCCAAGCACCACCGCCCACCATCATCGGAGTTGCAGATGCAGTGCGTGCGGCGTTGCTTGTCGGCTAAGTCCTGTCCTGATCCTGACAAGGTCCTGTCCTGACAAGACCCAACAAACTTGCCTGGAGAGCAGTTTCGACGAGCAACTCCTCCTCTTCCTCGGGTGGCCTTCTCCCATTCAGCATTGGCACCGCTTCAGAGCTGCTACCCCACGACAGCAACCTCCGCCCACGGCGTCACCACATGATATCGCAATAGCACACGCTTCTCCCCCTCCAACCCCTTCACAATGGCAGCGAAAAAGGCTCGCCAGAGGATCAGCTATGGTACGCCCCCCTTCTCCCGTCTGCCGTGTTGCGGATTGCCTCATCCATACCTGTCGCGGCTTGCGACAACACCCAACCCCGCACAACACAGCCAGGGAAGGACACGCCGACGAGCCAGAACGATCAAGCACGCACCGACGGGCTCCGAGGCAAGCCCCAATATACCTTGCTCATCGCCGTACTGACCTGTTGTGCCCGCACGCGCAGTCCTCGAGCTTCCCAACTCCCAGCCCGGTGGCCACCGACTTGGCGTCAACGGACTCGCCATTGACAAGACCAATGCCATTCTGTAGGCCTCTCGCCACACTCTCCGCACCCCCGATGTCTTTGCGCTTGCTGACCGTGCCACCGTGCAGTTATTCCGGCGGACGAGATGGCGTCGTTTGCGCCTGGGATCTCCTCGACATGAAGGCTGGCGCAGCTGGCCTCGCGACTACCGACAGCACCAAGCCCAAATCTTCCACCAAGTTCCGCGCTCAAACCCAGGCCCATACGCACTGGATCAACGACATTGTCCTCGCCCAGAACAACACGGCACTCGTATCTGCCTCGTCCGATCTGACCGTCAAGGTCTGGCGCCCGCACTCCGAGACCCAGAAAGATGCCATCACCATTGGCGAGCATGCCGACTACGTCAAGTGCGTCGCCACCCCGCCCCACGATCCGTCGGCCAACTGGGTTGCTTCCGGCGGCCTCGATCGCAAGATTTGCCTCTGGGACCTGAACGGCGGCGGCAAGACTCTCGAAATCGACAACAAGGGCGAGGTCGCCGAGAAGGGCTCGATCTACGCCCTGAGCGTCGCACCTCGTATCATCGCCAGTGGTGGTCCCGAGTCCAGCGTGCGCTTGTGGGATCCCAGGACCGGCGACGCCGTCACCAAGTTTGTCGGCCACACAGACAACGTGCGCTCCATCCTGCTCAACGAGGCCGGCGACACCGTCATGACGTCCAGTTCCGATTCGACAATCAAACTCTGGAGCATCACTGCTGGTCGTTGCATGTACACCTTTACCATGCACAACGATAGTGTTTGGTCGCTCTACTCGGACGACCCGACATTGGGCATATTCTACAGCAGTGACCGTTCTGGAATGGTAGCCAAGACTGATGTGCGAGGCACGCTCGAGGACATGGACGACGGCCTGTCACTTGCCATTGCGCAAGAGCATGGCAACATTAGCAAGATTTTGGCTGCCGACGGCTACATCTGGACAGCTACATCTACATCATCCATCAACAAGTGGCCCGATGTCGACACGTCGTCAGACATTAAGCTGCCCGAGGCTTACCATCGACACCGGTCAGCCTCTGGATCCACAGCACGGCCCAGGCAAGTGTCACCCCCGCCAGCTACCGAGTCTACAGACAAGAAGGAAGAGAATAAGGAAATTCCAGCGAAATCGATCCTCAAAATCTCCAACACGGCTACATTCCCGAAGCAAGTCGCTCGAGACCCCGATGCGGCGATTGGCGGCAATGCCGCGGCGAGAAAGGGATCTGAAATTGCGCCCGACTCGACATCCCATGGACCCGAGCCCCTGTTCCACCTTCCACGAGAAACCATCGAGGGCCAGTTCGGCCTGGTGAAGCACAAGCTCCTAAACGACAGGAGAAGAGTGCTGACGCTAGACACTGCTGGCGATGTGCTCCTTTGGGATCTGATCCGGGTTTGTATACACATGACGTGCTTCTCACAGCCAGGTCCGCTAACGTCTCATGTAGTGCGAGGTTATCCAGAGCTACGGAAAGCGGCATTTAGAGGACGTCGAGCCCGAAGTCAACACCCGTGAAGCTGTTGCCCCCTGGTGTTCTATAGATACGAGTTCCGGCAGCCTCACGGTTGTGCTTGAACCTTTCAACTGCTTCGACGCCGAGATGTACGCCGACGACCTGGCGCCGGGCGAGGCGGTGGACTTCAGGGATGACCAACGAAGTACGTCAGGCACCCGTCATCACGCAACGACTTGTGGTTGCTAACAGACTGCAGTCAACCTTGGAAAGTGGATTCTTCGATACTTGTTCGCGAATGTCATTGACGAGGAGATCAAAAAGGATGAGATTCACCGCGCAGCTCTCAACGAGACGGTTGAGAAGAGGATCGCCGCTGCCCGCCGAGTGGCCCCGCCCACCTCGATCGAGATGCCGACCAATACATTTGGGGGGGCCGAGGGCCCGGGATCTGCAACGACACCGCGTGCTAATGGCGCGCAGTGGGCGCCGACCCCTGGTCTTGCCATCGGCATGGCGACCCCTGGTGCCCGTCTGCAAGATGTTCCGGAGGGCGCAGCTACACCGGCAAGCCCCTTGGAGAAGAGGACGTCGCACGCCAACCGCACTTCGGTGGAAAATGGAGACTACTTCTCCAGCACTATTGCACCGGCCGACGGCGCCTCGAAGGGTGGACAGACACCTGCGACGCCATCAGAGCCCGCAGCAAATGACGTCAAATCGCCCGGCGCCGAGAATGGTAAAGAAAAGGAGAAGGACGCGAACGGCAAGGCACCCAGCACGCCGTTCGGCAAGAAGAAGTTCCGCATGGGCATGGGCAGCATGTCGTTTGGAAGCAAGAAGATTGGCCGCTCGGCATCGACCAGCACAGAGAAGCCTGCCGTTGTGGATGAAAAGGCAGAGGAGTCTGAGTCGTCGTCAACACACGAGAAGGAAGTCGACGACAGTTTCCTCGGTGTCGTCCAGCGTATTCGCAACGAATATGAAAAGCAACTCACCGACAGCCCCGACAAGATTGTCGAAACGGGCATCACGCCCAGTCTGTACAACGATACGCCCGTCCTCAAGCTGCCTTCTGGTACCAAAGTATTCATTCAGGAGGAGACGTCTGGCTCGAGCGCCAACTTGTATCAGGGCACGGTCGAGACGGTCGGCCAGGATGTCGACGTCATTGAGCAGCGTGGTCCCATGTGGCTGGGAGAGGTGCTTCTGCAGAACCAGATCCCGCCGAAAGACCCAGTCAAGGTGTCGTTTGTGTTGGTGCCGTGGGAGAACTCGCTTCCCGACCTGGCGGCCACGGATGGCAACAACCGCCTGAACGCCAACAGAATGCTGCGCGTCAAGAAGATCCTGTCGTATGTCGCAGAGAGGATCGAGCCGCCTGTGACAGAGCCCGACCCAAATGCGCTCAGGCCAGATGAGTACCTCGAGTTGTACTGCAACGACATGGTGAGTCTGACACACTGCATTGGACGGAGAGGGGCGCTAACGGAACGTAGAAACTACCCAACACAATGACGCTGGCCACGCTACGTGCACACGTATGGAAGGGTGGTAATGACATCACGCTGCACTACAAGGCGAACGGTCGCAAGGTGATTGAGAATCCCATCCCGACACCACAGGCAGCGGCACCAGTCGAGCCAGAGGCGGCGCCAGCCGAGGCAGGTGCCGATGGAGCGGACGGGTCTGCCGCCCCTTTGACGCCGGCCCCAACGACCACTCCGGCAGCGACGACAACGGCGCCTACGACGGCAGCGGCATAGAAGAAGTGACGACATGCGTCATGTGCATTTCCGAGCCCGTGTGGCGAACCTAGTATGGGTTGCAGGTGGCGGTGCTGTGGTGCAGCGTCCGAGGTGTTTCTTGGTGTCTCTATACTTCTATATATCCAAGGGGTATTCCGTTTCCTCTAATGAGTAGTGTACATACGTCGCTGTCGTAGCATGGGATACCGCTACCATCAGAGCTCATCAACGCTATGTGCTGCCGTGTTTTGCGGGACGATGGCTGCCCCTGTTGTCGTGCTCCTTTCTGCTCCGTCTGACGTGTTCGGCCGTGCGTTCCTTGCCCCTCACAGAACTCCCTCGGCCAGGCGCCTCTCGTTGTCGCGCGTGGTCTGCATTGTGTTGACGACAAACTGGTAGCTGCCCAGGAAGATGGCGCCGCCGATGCTGATCCAGGTGATGCGCGGCACGGTGCCGGCAAAGAAGGCCTTCCAGCCCTCCTCGCGCCACACGCTCCGCAAGACGTCAGCGACCCTGACCTTTTGCTCGGACAGCATGACCCTCGTCTTGAGCACGTCGAGCGGCGTCGTCAGACCGGCGGCCACGGCACCAGCGGCGCTGCCGTAGAGGGCGCTCTCGACGGCGCCAACGTCGGCCACGGCGGCCAGATCACTGGCGTTGCCCCCGGCGGCGGCGGCGGCAGCAGCACGCTGCCTGCGGGCGCGGCCCCAGGCCTTGAGGCGCTCCCACAGGGGGAACTGGATGATGGTGAAGGGCACCTCGCGCATGACGGTGATGCCCCAGCCGCGGTAGAGCTCGCGCCAGACGCCGACGAGGCCGCGGTCGGCGCGCAGGGCGAGGATGGAGGCGAGGGCGCTGGCCGAGGACGGGTGGCGGCCGGCCTGGGTGCGCTGCTTGACGACCTCTGTCGGCACGCGGACGGCGCAGGCGGCGACCTCGCCGAGGGAGGCGGCCACCATGTGGGCGGCGGGGGCGGGCAGCGGGCCGGGGCGGGCGGGGTCGGTGAGGCGCGCCTTGGCGGCCTCGTAGGTGCAGAAGAAGAAGGCGGCGCCGGGGGAGGAGCCGACGATGGCGGAGCCGACGCCGCGGTAGATGCCTGTGAAGCCGCCCGAGGGGAAGAAGCCGGCGCGCGACTGCAGGCGGGTCTTGAGGGTGTCGAGGGGGAAGAGCGAGAGGTCGACTGTTGTGCCGGCGAGGCCGCCGGCGAGGAGGGCTGTCGTGAAGGGCGTCGACATGGTTGGGCAGGAGGGAGGGGGTTGACGTTTTCGGGAGTGCGTGGATGGAGGAGTCGGTTCGAGGGGTCAGAGGGTCGTCGAGGACAGTGTCGAGAGCCAGTCGACGTGGCAGGCGTCTTCGAGCGACAGATGACAGACTAATTAAAAGAAAGAAAAAAGCAGCGGCCGCAGCCTGATCAGTCGGTCGCCGTGTGCATTCTGAGGGTCAATGGAGTTCGGGGGGGGGATGCCGTCGAGGATGGAGGAGCCAACGAGTGACGATGCAAAGGCCGAGGGGGAAAGAAAGTCGATGGGTGTAGTGTCGGCGCAGGGTCCCGCCGTGTTGAGCCGAGCTGGGCACGGTGTGATGGTCTGACCGAGAGACGACGGACGGCTGACCGAGCTCACCGCAGTTCTTAGTTCTTTCGGCAAGCGCGACTTGGTCTGTTCTCCTGCCGCCAACTGCTGTCGCTTCCACCACTTTCAGTTACGGTTACGAAAATGCTAAGCTAGTCTCTCGAGCTTCCACTATCCTCTCGAGCTTCCACTATCCTCTCGAGCTTCTACTATCCTCTCGAGCTTCTACTATCCTCTCGAGCTTCCACTACGTCTCTTAACCTTCTACTACTCCTCTCGAGCTTCTACTACGTCTCTCGAGCTTCTAATACTCCTCTCGAGCTTCCACTATCCTCTCGAGCTTCCACTACGTCTCTCGAGCTTCCAACACTCCTCTCGAGCTTCCACCATCCTCTCGAGCTTCCACCACGTCTCTCGAGCTTCCACTACTCGAGCTTCCACCACTCGAGCTTCCACCATTCCTCTCGAGCCTCCACCATCCTCTCCAGCTTCCACCATCCTCTCCAGCTTCCACCATCCTCTCCAGCTTCCCCTGCGCGCCGACTCCCATCGTCAAGCTTCATCACGAGGGCCTATCCAGCACGTTGCCACGTCCCGCGCAGCCATCCATTGGTGCCCACGCCACCCCTCCCCCCAGAACACACGCCGTATGAGCGTCCCCGTCTTCCACCATGTTCCGAAGCCCATCTCCTTCATCGAGTTCAGCGAGGCCGTCCGCGCAACATGTCCGCCGCGCTTCCCCCACGCCCTGCACACGGTGCCTCGTCGCGTGGCCCTCGCCGTGAGCGGCGGTGCCGACTCGATGGCCCTCGCCTTCCTCTTCAGCCGCCTGCGCACTCTCGACCAGGGCATGAAGGTCGCCGACAACAGCATCGTCGCCAAACCCACCGCCTTTGTCGTCGACCACCGCCTGCGCCCCACGAGCACCAAGGAAGCCTACCAGACCATCAACGTCATCCAGTCCCTCAGCAAGTTCATGAAGGCTGAGCTTCTCACCATCCACTGGGCCCGCGAGCTGGGGCTGACCCACACGGCAGCTCACCCTTTCGACCCCAACGCCCTGCCCAACGTCGAGACGCTCGCACGCCGCCTGCGCTACCGCCGCCTCGGCATGGCCTGTGCCAGGTTCGACATTGCCAGCCTCTTCACGGCCCACCACGAAGACGACCAGTACGAGACGGTCCTCATGCGCCTGCTCAACGGCCACCGCGCGCGGGGCCTTCGTGGCATGGCTCCCGCCGCCAACATTCCCGAGTGCTTCGACATACACGGCGCCTACGAGAGCGGCTTTGTCGACGACCAGCTGCGGCCCCAGCCCTTCATCCGTTTCCATCCTCGGAAGCAGGACTGGCGCCTCATCCGCCGCGACATGCGCCGCGACCTGGACAAGGCCGCCTACGCGGCTGAGCTGCGCCGCGGCCTGCAGACGGAGCTCGACATTGCCTACATCCACCAGCAGTACGCCGACGGCGCCGACAGCAAGCCGTCGTCGAGGCGACACGCGCCGCCGCCGCCGCTGCCGCCCATCCAGACTGAGGACGCTGGCGTCGTCGTCTACCGACCCCTGCTCGCCTTCCCCAAGGACCGTCTCATCGCCACGTGCGAGGCCAACAATGTGCCGTGGATCGAGGATGCCACCAACAAGGACCCCACCATGACCATGCGCAACGCCGTCCGCTACATGTGGAAGGGCCACGACCTCCCCGCGGCGCTGAGCAAGCCCGCCATCCTGGCCATGTCCCGTCGCTGTGCTGCGCGTGCCGAGGCCGACGAGGCCGAGGCCGATCGCTGGGCCACGCGCATGGTCATCCGCAATTTCCAGCCCAACGTGGGCACCCTGACCGTCCGCTTCCCCGACCTCGCCGTCCCGCCTGCGCGGCGCCCGTCCCGCTACGCCTGTCGTCGCCACGCACTGCGCCTGTCCCGCCGCCGCACCATGGCCGCCCTGCTCATCCGCCGCGCCGTGGCCTTCGCCACGCCAGAGCCCAACCCGCCGGCCATCGCCAGCCTGCAGACCTACCTGCCGCGCCTCTTCCCGTCCGTCGCGACGCCCTCGGAGGCAGCGCGCCTCGATGCCGTCCCCAAAGCCTTCAACCAGGCCTCGGTCCTCTTCATCCCCGTACCCCCCTCCTCCTCACCGACCTCGGCCCAGGAGTGGCTTCTGACCCGCGAGCCCCACCCCTCGCGGGCCCCCCTCCCCTTCGTCGCCTTCATCAAGAACGACTTTAGCGACGCGCCCTTTGTCTTTCTCGACAAGCCCGAGACGTCGCCGCCGCCCGACGCGAGCCCCTGGACCGACTGGCGCCGCTGGACCCTCTGGGACGGCCGCTACTGGGTCCGCCTGCGGATGCGCTTCAAGGGCGTCGTCCGCATCGGGCCCCTGACCCCGGCCCACGCCGCCGACTTTCGCACGAGCCTGCCGCCCGCCGACCGCGCTCGGCTCACCGACCTGCTGCGCCGCCACGCCCCGGGCAAAGTGCGGTACACCCTGCCGGCCCTGTACGCCGTCGACAGCCCGCCGCCGAAACCCTTGTCCGCCGCCGCTGCTGCCGCTGCTGCCGCTGAAACGGGCGCCGATGCCGCGACGACCAAAGAGGCCGAAACGCCAGCGCCGCCCCGGCAACCGGATGTTGGTTGGTGGCGCGGCCAGCAGCGTCGCGTCAAGATGCTCGGCCTGCTGACGGTGCCGGTGCACCTGCCCGGCCTCGACAGGTGGCTGCAGTGGGAGGCGCGGTACAAAAAGGTCGACACGGGCCTGCTCGGCCGGCACGCGTCCGCTTCTTCGGCAGCGAGGACGGGCCGCGGCGAGCGGAGGCGACGCTGGGTGCGGCGGTCGGAGCGAGGCGCTGTCGTGGAACGGAGAAGAGAGCGAGGCGATAGGAGATAGCAGACGAGAAACGTCGAGATGAGATACCCCCTTCCTTCTGAGAGATTTTACTCTTTGGATGAAATACAATGAATGCAAAAATGATGGCTTGCATGCAACGTGCGAGGCCTGGGAATACCTGGATTATGAGCATGGTTCGGTAGCGTCGCGGGCCGGGGGCCATGCAAGCTGTTCTGGGCCCTCTTGGCCTCTGGCACTCTGGCACATGGTCCTCTCGCTGTAGTATCTGGTTCATCTACTCTGCGGAGCCTCGGACACGTCACGTAGAGAAACTAGAATATGTTCAACAGGACGAAAAACAATGATCAGTAGACGCATTTCAAGAGCCCACCTCACACCCCCTGATAACTAGCCACATCATAGCATGCCCAAAATCAGCCATTGACGCCAGAGCTATGCTAGCCATGTCGAAAGAAGAAGAAAGAACAGTCCAAATAAATAGGTATCGCAGGTCATCAAAATACGCTCCCAGCCTCTCGCTCTCCCTCTTACATCTCCTCCTCCCCCTTACATCTCCTCCTCCCCCCTAAGTCTCTTCCTCCCCTAAATCCTTCTCCCCCCCCCCCCCCCCTAAACCAATGTGAAAGGCGTCGTTTCTTCCATCCCACTCCTTTCCATCGCATTGTCTACCAGCGTATCCGAGCAGTACTCGCTACAGCACACAAACCGAAACTTGCCCCCCTCGACCGGCCGCAGCACGAACGCAAAGTGACTCCCGTCCACCCACACGACGCGGTCGCCGACGGCTGGCGGATCGAGGCGGCCCCAGTTGTTGTAGCTGTAGTAGAGCAGCAGACCCGTCGACGTGACGAACGAGTTGAACGCCGTCGTGGCCAGCTTCAGCCAGAAGCGCAGCTCGTCGTCTTCCTCCCCGACGCCGTCCGGCTTGTGCAGGAGCTCGCGCCGCGCGCGCTCCCACATGGGCCTCAGGTCGGGGTCTGTCGTCGACGTCGGGAGTCCGAGCCACTCCTCGAGGACGACGTTCACGTCCTCGCCGCGGAGTTCGGCTGTGCGCGTGACAATCTCCTGGTCGACCCGCGCCGCGACGTCACGCAGGTCGGGGCAGCGGGTCGGGTAGCCGCGAATGCCGTACTCGACGCCTTCTGTCGGACGGGACATGACGCTGATGCACTCGCCGAGATCATACGCAAGGACCGTCAGCTCGAGGCCGTCGGGGGATATATCGACGTGGCCGGGACCCTTGGAGTCGCCGGAGCGGTCGTTCTCGATCTGCTCACGGAAATCGGGAACCCAGGAGGGCGCGTCTCCGCCTAGCGGGGGGAAGTAGGCAATGATGTTGATGTTGCCGGTGTGCTGCAGCACAAACTGGGCGTAGTCGTGATACACGGTCCTGAAGGGGAGATCGTAGTTGGGCGTCAGGTGAGGTGGCAGGCTTTTGTAGGGAATCAGGGCGAGAAGGGCATAAATCTTATCAGCCGGCAGAGAGGCCTCGAGCGAGCCGAACGCGATGAAGAGATCGAGCAACTCTGTGGCGACGATTCTCTCGGCCGATTCGACGGTCTCTGCCGTTGCTGCCGCCTTGGCCGCCGCCAAACGAAGCTGGCGCTGCTGTCGCGCCCACCACACACGTCCATACATCTGCCACCGCAGGTACACGTCCTCCCAGACCCAGTGGAACGGACTCTCCTCAATGTCCAGCAGGAACCAGAGTGCCACCAAGCCGCCCATGCCAAACACATGACGGCCAAAGAGCACCTGGGGTTGCGCGTGGGCGAGCACGGCTTCCTGTATCACCCAGGTCCGGTCGAACCAGTTGTGATAGTACAGGTGGTCCCTGACGAGGCGGCGATTGGCCTTCATAATGTGTTCCGACGGCTTGGCAGCAACAGTGTCAGCCGTCATGGCCTCGACGTGGGCGACGCTCCGCAGGTACGGCACCAGCTCAGCAAAGACGTCGTCGTTGTGCCTGTCGCCCTTTTCTGGCGGATCCTCTTCGTCAGGGTCGGCCATGGGGCCAAGCCAGATGATGACCTCAGCTGCATTTCCGTAGATTCGACCCATCTTCGGCACCTCTCTTGACTTGTCGTCGTTGTCCCCCTGGTTGATACACACGGCATCGGCCCAGAGGGGCAGCTCCTCCAGGGTCTTGTGGTCGTACATGGATTCCCGCAATTGGCGCAGAGCCTCGATCAGGTTCAACGTGAACCTGCACGACTTGCCGTTGACGACGGCGAGGCCCGTCTCATCAGGGTCGCCCCATACATAGGAGAGGGCGCGGTAGCGGACATGGTCATCAAAAGCGACGGTGCGCAGCTCGCACACAATCTTGTCTGTGCGCTTCGCGCTCGGCTTGATGGTGAGTAGGCGAATAGAGGAATCAGACAGCGGTTCGTAGGAGGCTTCCAAGGAGTGTCTGCTGCCGAGGTGCAAGAAACGGCGCATGCGCTGGGAGAGATCGGCAACGTCCATGGTGCTGGGTAATGTGGCCAGTGGCAAGCTGGATGTTGGGTATACTGTCGATGCCAATTCTCAATCTAACACGCCGTGCCCGGGTCGTCACGTTGGGCACACTCGAGGTTTTATCTCCATCTAGTGCTGATGAGGCGTGGCATGCCATTATGCCCCCCCCCCTCTCCTTCCACGCTAGGCGGACGAGGCCCATCGCCGTGCATCCATTAAAAGAAGTGGAAGTACAGCACGCAATCTGCAGTGCAGGTTCAGCGCATCTGCAGTGCAGCCCTGTCGCCAGCGGTCTCGTTTCGCGACATTGGAGGCCTGGGTAAGGCTGCAGTGGCGGCCACGCCGTCAGATGATGATGCGTCGCCGTAGCCAAAATTCTCTATACTGGCCACACGAACTGACAATGGCCCCGGGGCTGAGCTGGCCGCAGGCGGTTCGAAGGATCGAGGCGCCTGGTGGCAGTGGACTGGACTGCAGCTGCTGCATCGACAGGGGGGGGAATGGTTGTTGAAGGCCGAAGGGCGGAAACTCGGATGCGAAGACGGATCAAAGCCCCAGAAAGGGAGAAAGGAGGAGGGGTGGATGACATAAGCCGAAGCCTGGATGCCTCCTGCCTTCTCTGCCGCTGGACCCATTATTCGCCGGCGGAAAGCTGCGACACTCTGACGACATCGTTCATCGGCAGGCAGGAGCAGCAGACCTGTAAGTGGCAGGAGTGAGGAATGAGGCACAACGCAGCTCACCAAACGCGAGGTACCTTACTCAAGGTACCAGGTAGGTCACGATAAAGTATCAATTGGATGCAGGAAAGTCGTCGATGCAAGCATATCCCATCGTACCGACGCAAATGCCCTTTGGGGGGCATACACGCCACGCACGTTGTCCTTCCATAAACTCCGTTCTAGCCGTTCATTACACGTCGTTCCCGCTTCCGTATCCATCCATCACGGCAGGAGAATCGTCTGCACTGCTTGTTCTCCCAGCAGTCAGGTCTCACAGGCCGTCGCGCATGCTCGTGCCGGCCTTGTGCGTCTCCTCGGCCGCCTTCTTCGTCTTCTCCTGCAGCTGCTCGGGCGTCAGGTCCGCGTTGCGGTCCGCGTTGATGGCCTCCTCGCTGTCCGACGCCAGCTCGGGCTTCCAGTGACCCTTGCCCTCCTTCTGCTTCCGGAGGGAGTCGTCCTGGTGCTTCTTGTAGTCGGCGTCTTCTGGAGCGAGCGTCAGTACAGACTTGGCTTTTTGCCCCCTTGGCGAAGGGAAATCACGTACGGCCTGCGGACTCCTTGAGACCGGCCCGCGCCGTCGTCGAGAGCTGGAAGCTGCGGCCGGCAGCAATCTTCTGGGCCGTGACGCGCGCGGGGCGAGCAGAGAGAGCGATGCGGGAAATCATCTTGACAGTTGTTTGTATGTAGACGAGTACGGGGTTGTATGCGTTTCGTGGGATCGCTCAATTGAAGTTTCTGGTGTATCTGACGATGAGCCAACCGCTTTCTTTTCTTTCTTTCAAGGGGTAATTGTCAGTGGAAAAGCCTGAGGAGGAGCATTCAGATTTAATAGAAACGGCAAGCACCCAAGCACCCAAGCACCCAAGCACCAGTGGAACGACAAGCTCCCCTCGCAGCGTCATGACGATCGCGGACGAGCTAGGCGGCTCTTCTTAATGGCCCGTGACGTCACGATCGCGAATGGTCCGGTGTTGTGGGGACCTCTTTCCGGCACGGGCAGGAGGGAGACCAGCCATCGACAGCCGATGCATTGGAAAGAAGCTACTCTTCTGCCCCCCCTTTTCTTCCCCGTTCCTCGACCATTGTACTGTACTGCTGCTTACCTACCCTCGGTAAGTTTGTTAGCTCGTAACGTATGCAGGCGCCAGGGTGCAGCACGGGGGTGTGGTTCGCTCGGACGCACAAAGTGATTCAGGGGGGGCAGAGGTAACGGGAGGGGTAGATGCCAAACCCAGGGGGCCAAGGGGGCGGGTTCTCGTACCTGACCTTAACCTTCCTGTGCCTCCTGGTGTCTGCAGATGTTCGAGACCTGCGTCGCATTGCAGCACATTCGATTCTCCTCCGCGTGTGTTCGTCATGTTGTGGCATGGGTCGTCGGTTGTACGATGATGGCGCCTCATCGTGATGCTGCTGTCCTGTAGTGGAATGCTCGGCCGAGACATGCTCCTCGTTGTGCGGAAGATGACGGACGTGTATGCATGCCTCCGGGAGAGTGTAGTATCACAGCGTGTTCATGGCAACAACAAATCATCACACAATACATTGGAAACAAATTTGCTGAACATATCGTATATTGCGCCTTGCTGGCATCTGGTGCCAAGGTCGAGCGATGGCCCGAAACCTTCATAGAACACGTTGCACATCTTGAGTTCCTACACCCCGACCCTGTCCCAAAGAACAAGGCAGCCCAACACCGGCCGACAATCGAGTCGGCAATCCCAGCCCAAGGTATCTCCCGTTCAACAACAACCCTGAAGAGCCGTTTATCGTATCATACCGCGCTCCCTGAGAACACAACACCTCCAAAGATGCGTCGCAAAACGTGCTGCCAGCCCTAGGACCAGATCCGGCCCCCTCCAGAATGGTACAAAAAAGCAGAGGCGTCGGCCGGGGACCAGCGAGGCCTGTCCCTGCCAAGGGAACGAGGCCGCGCGACCCCCTCCAACCGCCCCGGATATTTGCAAGAACACAGGAGGATCGCAGAGAAGACGGTGAAAAGAAAACACCAACCAAACATGTAAAGATCAACCAACTCCGCCTTTCCCCGATGAAAGGCATAAAACAGTTGCCGTTGAACCGCTACCCCGGCTTGGAGATTTGTTCCCCCCACAAACAAGCAAAAGCAAAAAAACGCACGAGTCTTTGCCCGCCTCCCGCCGCCGACCAGTCGCCCGTCGCGCCCTGAGATTTCCCATGTGAGACCGTAACAGAAACACCCGTGACCCCCGCTATTGTTGTGAATAAGGTTGCCGAAAAACACTCATTCTATATGAGATTGAGAGAGATTCTTTTTTCTTTGGAGAATGTCCTCGTCGTCGTAATCCCCGAACCCGCAAAAAACCGCGAAATGTGAATCATGGGGCAGCAGGATCGACCCGCTGACCGTGTGAGAAAGACATGCCGATGATTATAGTTGGTAGTCCGAACTCCGCCGTGAAATGTTGCTGAGCACCGATGCAATGTTCGAGTGTGAAATGCAAAAACCACCGCTTTGCAAAACGCCATTCGTGGATCCAGTCGTCTCATCTTGAGATGACAGTGGACACCGAACTTTCGTTGTGATATTTTTGGTGAGTGAAAGAAAAATGACCTGACCAAAAAAGGAAATGGTATCAAGAGATCGCCGCTGTCGAGAAGTGGACGTGTTGCCCGTATATCGGTAGAGGTTTTTTGTACAGAAAGATGTGGTTGTCGTAGATTGTTCAGCCAGCCGTCGAACAGAGGTTCGAGCTAGCCAGTCCAGCCAGATCCTCCTGGTACCCAGCCCGCGAGGAGGTGATTGATGATGCCATTTCATATCGTGAGAGTATCGGTTGCCCGGTGTGTCGCAAAGATGCGACGACCAGAGACGAATGAGCAGTAATTTGTACAAATCAAAGTTGCAAAGGCCTCAGACGGCGAGGACATGCCACCACGACTGCTGCTTGCGAAGCAGCCGGGCGACAGGGCCTTACCATCGTCGACCCATGCCTTGCTGCATGCGACCGGGCGAGACCGAGGGCGGCGGGCTGGACATGGTAATACCAGTGGCTGGGTTGATGATGGGAATGGCGTTGCGGGTGCGCGTGGCGGCAGGCTGGTGGATCTTCATGGTGGACTGCTGGGCCTGGTAGGTGGCCGGGTTGAAGGGAGGCGAGCTGGAGTTGAGGGAGAAGCCGGGAGCGACTTGCTGAGGCTGCTGGGTGGGGGAAGACTCAGGAGAGTTGCTGGCCAGTGAGGAGCGCTCAGAAGAGCTGTGAATGGAGACCAGCTGTCAAGCACATGGTCAGTTTTTCGTGTCGGTGGAGGGCATCTTGCGGTCTCAACTTACGTCAGTCTCGGTGAGCAGAGCTGGACAGAACTCCATGTCGTCCTCGAGGTCGAAGGAGCGCGACACCTCAAACTTGGAGCGGAAGGCGTTGATGACAGCAGACTCGTTGAGCTCCTTCATGCTGCGGACACCGCGGAACTGCTTGTGGGAGTTCTGGGACACAGACAGCCTCGGCGCCCTCCTGTTGCGCCCGCCATGGTGGTTGTGCGACGCGCCAGGAACGGCGGGGGTAGGTTGTGCGTGGTGGTTGAAGTGGTAATATGAAGACATTATCTAAGATGGGGGAGCTAGGTTCCGTGCCAGTGCAGATGTTGGTTGGTTGTGTCTTGCGAGGTTGACGTGACTGCGAGAGGACGAATGAGTCGAGTCGCAGGGTGGATGCTTTTGTGTTGGGGGCAGCGTTGTGGCGGGTTGGTGTCGGATCTTTGTGTGGGTGAACCGAGCGTTGGTGCGGTATTAAATCGGCTTGGTAGCACAAAACAATGACACCGGCCGAGGTAATTCGAGTAAACGTCGTTGGGGAGCGTGAATGGTGAGTTGATGATGTCGCAGGGAGGAGAGGATGTTCAAGATGTTTTCTTTTACTTTGGAAGCGGTAATGGAAGGGGGGGCTTTTTTGCGATGGTCAAGGTATTGGACAGGAGTGGGAAGGGGGGGAAGATGTAAGGTTGGGGGGAGACGTGGGAGGCAGGAGGCCCGGACGTGGTATTGGTTTTGACGAGCGAGAGGCACAAGAACACAAGAACGAGGTGCCTGGGTGCAGGGCAGGGCAGGCCGAGTGCAGGCGGGTGCAGAGGAAGGGAGGCAAGGGAGGGATCGGCTGGGCCCCCCGCTTTTGGTGAGTGGGCGGGCCAATGAAAGACAACCAATGCTACAGTGCTTGACAGTGGGGGAACTGTGACCCCACAGCTTGACGCCATCTACGCATTCGCCACTTGGACATGATTGGATGCCGGAACCACTACTAGGCCGCTCCCAGGTTAGCGCTCTCACCAGATTGAGCGCATGGGCGGTCCTGCGGTGTTGCGGTGTCGCCGGACAGTGCGGGAGTGACGCTTGCGGCCTGCAGGCTGAGATGAGGCCCCTGTCTCCCCTGCCAGCCCTTCCACCCTCACAGTGTCCACTGAAAGCGTCGGCCCCCCCCCCCTGGTTCTCCTTCGTCAGTGAGTTCCTGTCCGCACTACGCTACGGACGCTTCGCTGCCCTTGTCCAGTGTTTGGTATCTATCTATCTATCTTCTTTGTTCATTTTGGCTCGAGGCCTCTTCAAGTCTCTGGACAGTGTCCGTCGTGAACCGTGCACAGGGGGGCTGAATGTGGTCTCCAGATTTATACGATCAACTGACCAAGTGGAACCCCAAGGACACAGGCTGCTTGCCTTGTTCTGTATACGTGTATGGATGGCTTCAATGCGTCAACCGCCACTGCGAGATACCTGTGCCTCCCTATTCTATTGCACCCAGCTAAAGTACCTACTGCGGCGCAACGGCAGGCAGGCTGACGCCTGAAGTGGGCAGACGGGCAAAGAAAGGCAGTGACTGACACTGGCACTCTGGAGGATCCGAACGCAGTCGTGTGATTCATAGTGGATTCCAGCCTGCCGCTGCTTACGATCCCATCTGTACCTGCACCATGCCAGGGCCCAACAGCATCCGAAAGCACCAGGTGTGGGTGGCATGTTGCGTGAGTTAGTCAGGCAGGCATTCATTTTACTTCACTCGTCGTGCTTCACGCTTCACAGTGAGAGTAAGAAGCCCGTTTCGCTTGCACCCGCATCCAATCCCATCCTGTTCAGGGGGACGAAAACAACAAGCCCTGGCCTGCCCTGAGAAGTCGGGGCGAAGCGCCCTTAGCGGAAACTATGCGTGTTTCTCATTCCATGCGACATGCGACGGCCTTGCCTGGCCGCCCACAGTGTCACCTTGGATGTCTCGGATTGGCACCACAGTTGACCCCCCAAAGCCCACCGACCTGGAAGACCCCCTGCACCGTCGGACGCCTGGGATGTCAGGCCGCCATGTGCCCCTCGGTCTTGCCTCCCACGAATGATTGTGGGGTGATTTGTGCAACCCACGGTCGACTCACTCCTGCTGGACCCAGGTTGCACAAGACAAGACGGGCAGGAAGAAGGCATCAATGCATCTATCGAGGCGGGGCGACCCAATACAGGTTGACGTGAGGTGAGGCGAGGCGAGAACGAGACGGCAAAGCTGGATTGTGGAGTGTCCTTGCTTCGGGCCCGCCTTCCTCCCAGTTTGTTATTATTCCCCCCTCGCCTGCCACTGGTCGGCTTTGTTGGGAATCACAGCCCAAAGTCAACATTCACGACTGAGACTTCATGTTTTGTCAAGCTGTTGACCCTTGACCCAAGACGAAGGAGAAGAGGGCCACATCGACGAAATGGACCGTGTCGAATACACAGGCTACACGGTGACGAGACCTGAAGATGCTCGCGCTTGGCCCTCCAGTCCGTCGTGGTCGACCAAGGCCTGGATTGAGCACAGAATAGACTCGCCAGCCGCCACGTTTCTAACCAACTCGCCTGACGCTAGGATGCATCCTCTGTCACTGTGTGAGTTCGAAGCTCCAATCTGCAGGTCGACTTGTTGATGTGTGTGGGATCAACCGGGACACGCCTGCTAGCTACCAGTACAACCCTCCCAGGGACCGGGGGGTGGGGGGAGGCGAGCTGGAGGGGGGGCACACAAGCACGAACACACCAGTCCGACAGCGACAAGCGTCATCCACAAGCGCTGGCACTCGACACTCAAAGCCAGATGCCTTTCGGATCTGGGGGCCAGAGTCCTTGTGGAACGCCCGTTGAGCGCGAATGAGGAGTCGGCTGTCTCGCCTTGGCTGATCTAAGTGGCCAATTGATAGACATGCCCATGATGGAAACGGCTGCGGCGGGAAGCGTTGGTCTCGTCTGCCGTCTGCGTGCGACAGCAACTGCCACCTAGGCCGTCAGTCGTCCATCAGTAGCTGGCGGTTTGACGCTTCGGCTTCGCCAGATTGCTCGCCCTTGTCATGCTGTACCTTTGTGGCAGCGCCGTTGTCACCAACCTCCCAGTCCATCCTCAGCCCTCGCCCTCCCTAATGGGGGTCCCGATTTCAGAACCAAGGAAAGACCCTGGATCCTCGATCTGGCCCTCCTGCTGCTGTCACCGTCCACCACCAGCCGACCCTTGTGCCTCCCCTCTCTCGACCTTTCCCCTCTCCAGGCTCTTCCGCCATGCGAGCCGGGGGTGGCTTTGAGACTGTGAGACCTTGCTGACTTTGTTACTTTTTCCTGTCGAGCACGCAGCGACTTGAAGAGTCGGGAGAAAGACTCTCGCGTGCTAGTGTCGTCAGCATCTGCATTTTGGCACCTAGCCATCCAAACACCCTGCAGGCCTACCCAGCTCAGGTCCCTCGTCAAAGTCGAGATGGAGGACAGCCTGAGTTGTCAAGCATCAACTGACGACAAGTGCGGGGCAGAGGGGTCAGGGACACCAGGGGCGCCAGAGGGCCCCTGAAGGTGGACGATGCTATTTCTGATGTGCCCAACCACGCCTCCGACCAACCACCAGAAACAGGCCTGACTGGGTTCCTGGAAAAGCGAATGGCACCTAAAGAAATGCGTCTTTCCAACTCTGCATCTGTCAGTTGCGCAAGAAGGATCTCGAAGACCCGAGCGACGATTGCTACCCCTTCAGGACATACCTTTGTCTTAGCTCCGCCTTGTTCGTTGATTGGAACGCCCGCTGTATGCATGTCCCATCGTCGAGGATGCATCCGTAGTAGTCGACGGAGAGAACTGGACCACCATCGACGACGAAGATAAGACGAGGATGGAGGGGTGGAGAAACCCTGGCTGCTGCCGTTGAGAGGATAGGGGGAGCCATCTTCATCCAATACCTCGTTGACGCCGCCCTTCACCATTTGTGGTTTGCTACCCTTGTCCGCCAGCCACCCTCCGACCTCCTCGGGCACCACCAACCGTCACAGTGCCGAATGGAAAGGACCCCATCGCCCGCTCCCAACCTTTCCCCGACGACAAGGCGGTTTTGGGTGGTCAGGCGGTGTGCCTCTTGCGCCAAGGGTCAGTGGCCCAGGGCTCTCGTGGCTCTGATGGACTCACAGCGCACCCTGTGGGCTGAGCACTCTGACCCTGCTGGTACATGGTACTCCTCCACTTCACAGCCTACGAACGATTCGGTCTCAACGCTTGTCGCACTGCCACACCGCCATTCTGGGAGCGCCCCCGATCAAATCGTGCATCACACGCTTCTGGCGAATGCGGTTGCTGCTGCGCAAAATTTGCTACGGCAATTCGATGCCCGGGGCATGGCAATTACAGGCAGTGCAGTGGTGAGTGCAGTGGTGCTAAAAGTACACATGTACACGTAGGAGGCTTGGGCATGCTCGACGGCCCGCCTGGGCTGCCCTGCATGCTGTAAGTGGGCGAGCCTGTACCAAGTCAACAGGTGCAGAATCTTCCCGTCGCCTTTGATGCTGCAAGTTGACTCCCACTTCGGGCTATTCTGACGGGCGGCGGCGTTGCACATGCGGCGGCAGACGCGGCTGCAAGTGTGCGGCTCAACCGTGAATGCCCCTGTACGGTCTCTCGGTGTAGGCTTCTTAGAAACATGGAGCTCTCAGAGGTGGACGGATGAGGTTGACTTCGGACGGCAGCTTTATATTCTCCTGTTTCCGAGCGGCGACCCTGTCACGATCATAGATGGAGCCATTCGCAGCATCTGCCCTTCTTGGATGAGGCGTGCGACCGACCGATTTTGATCCGGGCATTCTCTCACCGGGCGAGTTGAAACTGGGAAGATCAATGATGGTCGCTCTTTGAAACAACCTCGCTCACCATAGCTAATGACGGCGAACCGCCGTGTTGCACGCACAGGACATCTAGCAGGAGTGTCTGCTTGATCCATGACCAATTACCATCTTGCTTACCATGGCCGGGACATGACGATTCAATCATGTGCCGGCAGTCGGCGTCGCTGCCAGCCCGGCCGGTGTCATCAAGTTCTCTTCGTTCAGGCACCTGGCTATAAGCCAGTCTCAACCCTCAAGCCGGGATGAGGGTGACTTGACTGGCATTCTCCTGTTTAGACGGCGCCAATCTCATCCGATACGGATCTCCTATCTATGTTCGCGCTCGTTGACGGGAAGTCATTGGGAATTGATGGGTTACACAACTCGCCGTGCTGCTTGGGCGCGCCTTCACCCATGTGTCCTTCATACCGATCTCGGATCCCCCTCTGTCTGCTCCAGCCC